GCATTTGGGTATTAGCAATGTTTTCTTTCTCTCTCTCAGACAGGCTGATAGGCCTAACCTTGTCTGTCTCTCCAAACATATTGATTAGCCTGTGAGAAGAGAGAGGCTATACTTGAAGCAATACACTTCCTACTAATAGCATCCCATTGTTTGACAAAAGTTTTTTGAAGCATTAATTGCATCTGAAGATGGCAGAGGAAAATGATCTGGCTTTGAACAAATAGTCAAAATGGTTGGGAATATCAGAAAGATGATTTGCAACATGGCAACCCAAGCTGCCTGATATGATAACATAATTTTGATTCCGTGTTAAAGCGCCAGGTACAATAACAGCTTGATAGTGTTTGTGTGTCAGATAGAAAATCCGACATCAGTGACGGGCTGAGACGAAGATTAGCCAACTTTTCCAGAAGAAAACAAATTTCAAATGGCAGTGTCAGGCAGAAAAAAAGAGAACACCAACCTCTGTGCCTTTGTTGTTCTCCTTTAATTCTGTTAATCGCCCCCAGGTAAAGATTAGCTGCTCTTGCCAATTTAATTCAGCCTCAAATGATGCTGCTACAAGGTCACTTTTTCTTTTCTTCCTCTCTTCCTCTGTGTCTTTATCCACCCCCTCCTTGCCCAACCCCCCCTCCCATCCCATCTCCCTCTCCTCCATTTCTCTTTCCTTGAGCAGGATTGAGTTGTCATGTAGTTCTAATAGGCAGCACAGGGAATCATTAGTCCACCTCGGCTCCCTGACTGATGGCTATTTCACTCCAATCATCTGAGTACCGTGCGTGTGTTTGCGTAGGTGTGTGTATGTGTGTACGAGCGTGGTGTACTCCCGCTATTTCCACACACACACACATAGACACACACATCCCCCCCCCCCCCCCCCCCAACCCCCCAACCAACCACCACAGCATTGCGCGCCTACTGCTATTGACGGAGTGTCAGAGCTGAGGGGAGATGTCTTAATCAACTTGGACACACTGGGCATTGATTTGACAAGCTGCTGTAATGACCTTCTTGTTTGCGTAAAGGATCACTGTTTATCTGGGCCACAACTGATGTGCTGAGCATGCCTCATTGTCATGGAAACTATTATCACGGCTGAATTGGGAAGGGGCTCACTCTGCGGATCGCTTTATTTCTCTCTCTGTCACAAGCACACTGTCTCTAATGCACACATGTGGCCACACATATTGATATGTTTGGTACGTGAACTGTCCATGTTTGTGTTTGTGCTTGAATGTGAGGTATAACACCCCCAGCCTAAATCGTCAGGGGTCAAAGGGAAAGGCTATAATTGGTGTCAACATCTTTTTACATCAATGTTATGGAAATCATTACAGACTGATGGATTGACTGAGACTGAGAAGGCTCAATAATCCCAAGACAGCCGTTTCATTTACCTGCCTCCAAGCTCTTTGGGAAAATTATTTTAAACGTTGTAGCTCATTGATTTACTAAGTGACCCATAATGACATCTAAAATGGATAGTTTATTCTCAAAGGGAAATTAAAAAGACACACACAAAAAAAAAAAAATTATAATGTTTTTCTAAGCATTACATTTTCTATCACTCTCCTCCTTGATCTGATGCCAGGCCTTATATTAGAGGCTATATGACATAGATTTGTTTTCATATGAATTATGACCTTCTATCAGCCAGCACCTGTTTAAAGATGAAGAGAAAGATTGCCTTTGTCTGTGTTCATGCTCTAACTCATGGACGGTGTTGTGCTCCATCACCTGGTTCATGGCCACAGGCACACCCTGCTGCCTGACGAAGAAGACACTCTGCTGAGTCGATTTGCAGGGATCTCAGGTTCAGGGTGCTGTCAGCTTCTGTCAGGGCAATCAGCAACACTCAGCCTCCCCTGAATAGCCCGCACAGCAGACGGTAAATATTATTGGCATTCTGACACCCTCTCGCTGCGACCAAGTGTGTAAAATTGTTAATAAGGAGCATGATGGGGCCTCTGCATGCTGTCGTGAGAATGGAAAAGCTTGCTCTTGTTGGCAATTATCCAAATAACAGGATGAGGACAGGTGATTTAAGTCCTTAGCAGAGTGGTGGAGAGGTTTGTTTTGGCAGGCAGGAAGTGAGGAAAAGTCACAGAGGTCACATGGTAAACATTGTCCTTGTGCTATATCCATCAATATAACTCCTTATAAAATGTACAGAGACCCCTTGTATGCACTGTTTGGAAAAATTGCTGAAGACACTGTCCAGAGACGAGGCACTTCAACACTTGAGGGCTATTCTACATTATATATGATAGTCATCTTAACAGTACTAAAGCAAGTAAAGGTTGTTGGTGTGTCAGTGTTAAGTATGGCAGAGAACGAGCTGCTTGTTTACTGAATTCCACTGTTATTAGTTATTTCTATGCGTCCCCCTGAAAGTCTCAATGTGACACTGCGATAAGGCACACAGTATTCCTCCCCTTGCATATAGCACGTTAGTCATTACTTTTAAAGGCATAGTATCTCCAAGTCGCAGAAGGACACGTTGATAGCAGAATAAAGTACACAATCGTAAACGTTCATGCCAGTGTTTCTCACTGTATGATTACATTTTTATGGTTCATATTCTGATATGGCTTGTTTTTGCTGCCAGTGTCAACGCAATGAGACAGGCCCAGAGGTGGCATTTCTCCTTTGCTTTATGGGGGGAGAGATGCCGAGAGGAGAGTCCTGCTCTGTGTTGTTCGGTAAACACACTGCCAAGTTAAATGGCTGATCAATCAATTTCAGCGGGATCGATCTGCATCAGTTCTGCCTGCATGCACACACCCGGAGCCACTTTATTGTAAATCAATCATTTTGAAAACAACTCACAGAGGGGCCCGTCCTCACTAACAAGCCATCAATTCCAGCTGCCTGTGTAGCACCCTTATCAGGCCACAAATCAAACGCCACACAAACATCTGCTCCATTTCCATCGCTTTCCCCCTCTGCCTCGCTCTGTCTTTTACCCCCGCTCTGTCCCCGCCGCTTGTCGTGTTTTGATGGTGTGTCTAGCGGGGAGAAGAGAGGAGACGCTGCAAATCTTCACCACACCACTTAAGATAACCCAAGGGTAATAGTGTTTGCACATTTGAGAGAGAAATGAGGACAAATGCCAGGGTGGGTCATACATTCCCCTTCTGACCGGCTGTTTGACGTTGGAGTGTGAAATTGCACACTTCAGCTGAGGAGGAAGAGGAGGAGGAGGAGTGGGCAGGGCCCAGAGACTCATGAGATGTCCACTGATTTCTAGCTATGAGAGAGGAGTGGGTCAGTGTCTGAGAAGTCATCCTGCCTCATCATAACACCTCAGAATTGGTGCTGCTTATGATGTTTGAAGGATTCTCCAGAGATATATCTCAGTACCCTTGACACCAGAGACAGTGTTTAGAGCAGTGTATCTAGAAGCCGATTATTTCAGTTGGAAAATTGCTGCAGTACATAAAGGTTAAATATATTTGGGTTTGTTTATTGGCATGCTTACGGCAGTTCAGGCCATTGGAGATGTTAAAGCTCCAACATGCAAAAGATGACTTTCTTAATATAACTGTATCTGTTATCCACATTAGGTTGCCAAGCATCTCGATTTTATGGCGAAACATTCACATATCCCTGACACGACGGCAAAGAGAGATACCTGATATGATGTCCTTCGCTCATCCACTGTCATCGTGTCCATGGAGATATATGAGCCAATGCGATTCCAATGCTATTCCTACCCATCACGGTGGATCCCTGTTGATTGACAGTCTGACAGGTGAAAGTGATGGAGCAGCTAATAGCATGTCAGTTAACGTAAATCAAGACTAATGCCAGCCTCAAAGGATAAGCGGATTGGCGGTGTGACTTGGACCGTGGGGTCACCGACCCCTCCGCAGGGTGGGGATTGGTAAAATACAATAAACATTTATCTCAGGGTCCCCATGGTGATAGTCAAGGTCAGGCACTGGGTCTCCTGCAATTTCACAGTACCTGTCTATTGTATATACACTGTAAAGTGGAGAAGTGACATGCATACCACTGATCCTTCTCATGCTTTTTGATGTGGTTGTACAGTATATAAGAAAAAAGGAGATGAATTGATAGCTATTATCCGTTTTAACTGGAAGTTCTCAGATCTGAGGCGTATAGGCATCAGCCATCACAAACATCAGCTTTTTTAAATGAGCCATGAGGCCCTTTATGAACATTTTTTAGCCAGTAATGTAGTAAGTAATAGTTTTTAGTAAGTTTTTGTTTTTATTTTTTCTATCGAGTGATTTACGTATGTTTGTGCTCTTCCAACTGGTTTAAAGAGGGCAGGGCTCTGTAAGCAAAAAGTGATGTCATAAACATCGGGATGAAGATACATTTATAAATGGGATGACTTGTTGTCTTAATCATTATAAAGCGTATCACATATAATAGTTTTTAATTACATTTTTTTAAACACAATATACTAGACATTCTTTATAAAAATATGTTTGACATACTCTATGAGCTTTTTGGACATACTATACTATGCATTTTTTCATAAAACTTTGACATCCTATACTTTATTACATTTTTGAAGACATACATTTCATTAAGTATTTTTATTAATTTCTATACTATGACTTTATTCATGACTTTTTCACAACAAAATATCATATTACTTTTTTCTTTCATTTCTTTTTTACAAACTATACAATGACATTTTTTCATTAAGTTTTTTTATATACTATACTATGACTTTTCCATGGAACTTTTAAGATGGACAATAATATGACTTATTACTAGTGTATGACATTTCATATGACTTTTCTATGGACAAATATATTATGATGAGATTATTAATAAAAGGTTATGGTATACAATACTATTCCTTTTTTTAAATATGAAGTAAAATGACCTACGTGTTTATCCTAAATACATGTATTATAGATGTTGTTACTCTGACGATTGGAACGTTACTGAGGGAGCACAATAACAGAAGAAAACATTTCTTTGTGATTGAAATAAAACAAACAGGAGAGTTTCCAGGTTTAGAACACAAATACATCCATTTTAATTTGAGAAAATACAAAAAGAAACCATGTACAATCTATGTACAAACTTTTTGTACACGACAGTATATTTATCAGCAGATGATATTTGACAGAGTCAGGTAGATCAACTCAGCACCATCAAATAATCCTTTTATCCGTCATATTCAGAACACATCCAAACTAATTAGACTGCTATGTCAAACTCCTATTTGCTGCGATGATGATCTGTGTATTTACGCAAAAGCAATGTCCTGAATTTTTTTCCTGAACTGATAGGCAACCAAAAAAATAAACAAAAATTGCAACTTTTCTTTAAAAAAAACAACAAAAAAATTGCTGAATGCAATTTTAATGTATTGTTAAGACTTGAGACCCACGTCCCATCCCAATAAGTAGTATATGTTCTATTATATCTAGTACAATTCCCAGCAAATAAGTTATTATATCCATCCTTTACAGCAAAAAATAGATTAACAAAAATAATGCAACATACTGTAACAGTAACGTATGACGCATCATAGTCTTTGATTTGTTCAGTGGACACAACACATGTGATGTTACAGGCATGTGCCCCTATGTGCATCTTTCAGTCATCCATATCTAACTACACTACATAACACAACCTGATAAAACCAGCACACAGTGGAGACAATATGTGTGGTTTGACAACTGGGGCTGCTATCTGTGCGCCCCAGCTGCCTCTCGGGCTTCCTGAATGCCACTTTTCGCTATAGTGGGACTTTAAATGGGCCCTCCTCATGACCTTTTGCGCTGCCTGGCACTATACTGGCATGGAGGCATTGATGGCTTGGATGTTCTCCATGCCAGTATAAGAGACCGTTCTCACAGTGGAAAACACTTGGACTCAGCTCCCTCAGAGTGAGCTTTTGTCCCTGAATGACTGAAGGATGCTTGCTAAACTAAACTCTTCATGGCACTTCAAAAAACACTCTAAAAAACTTTAGAGGTATACATACAATGCAAAAAACCTAAAACATCTAGACATATGACAAGGTTTAGGAAGGAGAGACATCTCAGTCCAGTGTTATGAATAATGCCAGTCTGAATGAGTCGCACGATGATGGTTCAGGTAGAAAAAGCACAGTAATCAAGTGTTATGAAAACAAATGGTGCATTACTTTGTGAGTTTCTTGTTAATGCCAGTTTGCAGCATGTACTGTTTTATTTCTGAACAATGCTATGTTTAAGTAACTCATAAAATACTCTGTAAACAAAAAAGAAGCAGTTGTGACAGATGACATGCTGAAAAAATGGAATGTAAACCCTTTAAAAATGCAAAGTAATAAAAACTAAGAAAATTAAGGATGCTCTCTCTTTTAAAACCTCTGCTGAATTGGTGCTACCTTACGTCTTAGTGATGGCTGATTAATCAGATCAAATTTATATGTTTCCTACTAGAGTACTTTCCCAGAAAAATCCAGGATCTTTCATTTTCAAAATACACATTTGTCTTTTTTTGTTAACATAACAATCAGTTTGTCGATTCTATGTATAAGTCATTGCCATTATCAAATGTTAATAGTTCCTTACTGTTCAGGCTAGCAATTATGCCATTAAGAACCCAATTAAACATACATTTTACTCACATATCTTTTGAAAAGAAATCTATATGCTACAAAGTGTGACAACGATGTAATCACAGTTCAAAAGTTCACTTTAGGACGATGTGTATGAGGCTTCAGTATAGTTGCACCACACCCAAAAGACGGATATTGAAGCTCAGATCATTTTTGTTTGAAAAATAAATGTGGTTTATATAATGGGTGAATTCAATTTACACAAACATATTTAGCACAATATTATGTTCTTTTTCCAAATGTTTTTTTAGATTTACTTTAACTTTACAGCATCTAGAGGAGAATCACCACATTAAACAGACAGCTTCTCACTGTCATATTTAAAATGATATTTTGTGGAAAACACACTGTGCTTTAGTGAACACTCTTCCTCATCACGAGGGACCTAATTTAGGTCAAACAATGAAGGTCATTCAGTTCTGGCCTGCGCACAGAGGGAGCTATTATCTATTATCTTCTTGTTATTATTACCACTCTGATCTGCTCTTCAGCTACACTACAACATTTACCCCCCAACACATCATTACTTTTCACCTTTTTCTTTCTTTCTGCGTGTTCGCAGCAAGGGATGCCTAGTATCAGACACATTATTTTGTAGATACGACTCATCTGTTGCGACTAAAAGAGGTTCCAGATGAGACTTAATCTATGTCTGCAAGGACTCAACAGAGCTGAGCTGCCAGGCTGAAGATGGTGGTTTCACAATGCAAGCTAGTCTAAGCTTTATTGGCTCCAGAGTGATGCAGTTTGTTATCGAGGGGCAGGACGATAAAATAAACATTTTGTTTTAGTATGATGTGAAAAAATGGTGATATAGTCAAACACAACATTCTTTGATATGTAATTGTAATAAAGATATTATTTGAGTCTTTTTTTCTCTCCCATAGTACTCTTACATGGTTATTCTATAGAAAAATAAGTATAAATCGATTATGTTTATGGATACAAAATAATGTTTAAATGTATAAGTCCACCTACATATTTGCATGACATTTATGTATCAGGAGTACAAGGCTCAAGCCTCCATCCTCCATCTCTATCACATCTGGGTTTGGATCCGTAGGGCCTAAACAAGTGCAAAATGCACGCTCATGTTGTCACAGGCTAGCATAAAGAACACTGGTTCCTCGTCAGTATCCTTATTGGCAGTCTGTGGTATTGTTGCATTTCACCCCAACTATTTTTGAGCATTTCCCCATGTTAGAGGAACGGACATAGCAGCTAAACTCCTGGGAGTTTTGAGGCGTGTGACATCTGGATTGGCTACAGAGAACATCCAAGCTCTTTACTGCCTCTGTGCCAACCCTGTGCCAGGCAGCATTGATCAAAGGAGGACCCATTGATGCCCACTGTATGCGATGTGGCATTTCCTTCCTCAGACATTGACTTTTTGTAACAGACATAACATTCAGAAAATACACCACTCTTCTTTGTGATCCCAAATTCTGCCGCAGTTTTCACGGCAAAGCGTTAACGGTGGGCACGCAGCTGCTGTCCGCGTTAGCTCAAGGATAGTTGGGGAATTTGGTTTGTTTTTGATGCAACAATATCATTTTAGTTTTAGATCCAAACCCATCTGACTCTCTACTGTTTGTTTTTCTACCATGACTTTCATTTTAGAGCAAAGATCCCACATGCTGCTCCTCTAAAAGGTGCACCAACACATACAAAGCGATGGAACAGATGATCACGACGAGTGGCTGTGATGCACACGCGCAGACACACACACACACACACACACACACACACACACACACGCACACACACACACACTCACACACAGCGTGCATATAATGTAAATGCTTCTGAACGCATGAAGCTAAGGGTAGGTTGTTTCAAATCCTTCCCATGTTTTCAGGTTGATCAACTGCACTGTATCCGTTATAGAGGGGGCTCAGGCACATATCATGCGATAGGAGCTTAAAACAGAGTCACAGGCTTCATGATCGGACATATCAGCAGAAGACATTTAGGTACAGGGTTCTCCTTAGTCGGCACACACCAACACCGCACTTCGAGTTTTTAGACTACTGTTTTGCAAGACGGTTTTCTTCTGCAGGACTGGAATGCTCTCACTTAACATGACAAGTCAACGGTGAAGTAGCAAACCTTAAGCAATGACATGATGTATAACAACCTAAGAAGATTAGTATGCCTTGAAAGCCAAGCAGCCCTCCTCCCTCTTCTTTCCTTCCGTCATCTCCTCAGCGACATTTTATTGAGGGGGAATCTGGTGGTTCCAGTTGTTCCGACAAAAGAAACTTGTTCAGTTTTAGTGCAAATAGAACAGAAGCAGACAGGAGACATGAAGTCGGTGAACCCAGCTGGTTAGACGTAATGCATCTGGGCGGATCTTTGGGAGATGATATGATCAGTTTATCGCCGCAACCCTCATCCTCCAAGAACCAGTCACCTTAGCAATGGAGTCTGGTCACACGAAGAGGTGAACTATTGCAAAGAATTACAGGAAGTACTCTCTTTTTTTTGTCAACTCTTAAAATAATTCCAAAAAGTGCTAGGGGGAAGGGGCTGTACAATCCTTATTTGATTGTCATTATGTACATCACTATGGATACATTAATAAATAAAACAAAGTCCAAGATCATGGAAGTAACATTAAAAGGTATACACATAGGAGGTCCCTTTCCGGTTTGGGTTTCTGTCCAACCCCTGATTTTAACAATGAGTGAAGAGAAATGTGTCAGTCTTCAACATCCCTGTCACCATCATCATCATCATCACCATCAATCCTCCATGGGTGATCTTCTATCTCCTTTGAAAGAGCGTACAGATGTCTGGTGGGTCAGCAAGAAAACCCTGTGTTCAGCATTCATCTTCAACTTCTCTGATCGGTGGAATCAGACTACTAGTGGATTTGTATTGGTTGACTTGGTTGGCCATGTGAGTGCTCATGGGCTTGATCTGAATGTTCCGTGGGTATGCATTTTCTGGTTCATCTGTAAACCATTTCTTTTCTGGAGGCGAGGGAGGAAGAAGAGAAAACAGAGTTAGTTTGAAAAGTAAGGAACTTTGGATGACTTAAAAACCATACTGCCTCAGTTTAAGTGGTACATTTGCATGGCATTCTTTGTGATTAGCATCAAACTGGGAGGTCCAGGTTTAGTCGGTTTTCTGGAGCACTGAGCCATTTTGACATTTATGGTGGGATTGTGTAATCAAATACATTTGTGTAAATTGATTGATAGATTAATTTCTGAAGTATTCCATTTTAAATAACTTCATCATATGGGTATTTTTTTAGATCTTTATTATTATTGGGTCATGTCTCCCACATAACAAAAAACTCACTTCCTCTTCCATTCTAGCTAAGCAGACACTCAAATGTGTACAGGTTTTGAGATTTCTGATGCCATCTCAATACAATGTAGGATAATTTCATTTAGATTGTGTTGCTCATAGCAACAGTGTCTCCCGTTTTCAATGGAACTGCTTTCTACTCTTTAGCTCTTAAGCTGGTTCAATGGATTATCCAAACTAGTTTATCTTCGAGGTGTAAAGTGACATTTAATTTGACTATTAAGTCAATGCAAAGATGCGAGAGCAGGGCAGAAACAGACGTGAGTTTGCATTGGGATGCACAAAATGCGTTTCAAAATCCCCATCATTTCAAAAAAAGAAGCTTATCTTGAGGCTTTCTGACTCCATTTGGCGCATGTATACAGACAAAGGAAAAAGACTGGAGGAGAATTATCTGAAGGGCTTGAGTTTCTGTTCTGAAACGAGTATGTCGCTAGCTAACTACAGCTAACATCTTTAAAGTCTGCGAATAACCTTTTCGTTTTTGTCTTGTTTTTCAAATGTGTGCAATCACTGGATTTTATTTGACTTAATTTGAAGGGAGACCATGTTGCTGGGAAGTAATGTTATTGTAGATATTTTACGATTAATTTCCCATACTTTGAGCACCACAATCAATATTCAATATTGTTGAGGTGGAGGCAGAAATCTAAGAAATAAATATAAACCTATTTATCACACAGTGTTTATACACAAAAAATATGTTTTGAATATTGCATTTTTTGGAGCTGGCCCTTTTAGCTGCCTTACACATGATACTATATCTTAAATGTGTACACTCATGCTTAAAGTTAAATATTGTATGGAAGAGCTTTGGAATATTTGAATATGTAATTTTCATGTCATGTTTAAGTAGGCTATGAAAACACTATTTTTGAGCAAAGAGAACGGTGTATGCCAGGTGTCAGAAGTTTGTAACCTCTTCACAGGTATCTGTAATGCCATTCAAGATGTCACTTCTGTTGGGTGAAGTTCAAATTGTAACTTTGCTATGTGGAGCAGACCATGTGTGTGAGAATGTACGTGTGTGTGTGTGTGTGTTAGCAAGCTTTAGGCTGGGGGGCCATGTGGTACAGCACAGGCATTTGATGTGAAGAATTGTGCCCGAGGTTAAGCAAGATGTCTGCCATCTCTCTCCAGAGTCTGCTGCTGATACGGTGAACTTAAACCATCACATCAGGTGCACAGGGTGGGAGGGAACTTATAGACTCATATCCCCCTTCAATTTAAACTTTAGATTGGTCACACCTCCCACTTTCTTGGTGTGACTGATGGCACAGGGCTGGACACACTTTCATAAAGTTCTGTGAAAAAGTAGTAGTCAGCAATTGGCTGCATCAGGGGGATTTGAATCAGTCTGACCTACATGTGAGCTATGATCTGAGTATGTTCAGTCAGGCAACAAGTGGTGCATTTATTCTGATGCTGGTACAATTATAACCTACTTTACTCAAATAGAGAACAAATATGACATTTCAAGGTATGCTACAGTCATCTAATAGCATTCAATAGGAAGATGTGCAAACACACAGATCTCTCACACAATGCAAACCATCTCAAGTTGAAATAAATCATAAAGAGGCATGATAAATGATGAAAAGAAAAAGTGAAAAAAAGGATTGGTGTGGAGGAGAAAATAACTCATATCATCAAGTGCATGACTGAGGTAAAGGCATAAAGAAAAGGGGGGGTTTGGTCTCAACCTCATGCAATGTGGAGATGGTCCTGATCATGGCAGGGAGGAGGCAAGAGCAGCAGCAGACATTTTGCTTTCCAGATGAAAGCAAAACTTAAACTGAGGCATGGTTTACTTAACATCTGAAGAACATAATAAATAAAACAAACTCCCCTCGTCATAACAACATCCACAGAGGAAATAGTTATGACCAGGACCCCAGGTAAAGGTTGCTAAGTCATGCAGAATCGTTAACTTGCATACCTTGGCCCATTCTATTCATCCTTGTTGCACTTCAGAAAAAGAGGTAAGTAATCTACTGTAAGTAAGTAGTATTTACAGTCAATACACAACTGACAAATGACTACCAGTCTAACTAAGGCTTACATATTATTTCTACTATAGTATTTAGGCTAGATCATACATCTTTATTTGAAGATGTATTGAGGAATAATTATCTACCATTGAAAGATTCCTGAGTACGTGCATAACAAATCTGCATGCTTTTAAATAATGTCACAATTCCAAAATACTTCATTCTCCCATAAATAGAATTCAAAGTTTATATTTTTGGGGGGAGAATAAGAAGTATATAACATGTAGGTAATCATATTTCAAACTATCCTATTATTTTATAATAAACAGAACAGGAAAGAAGGCTACCAACATGGACATGCAATAAAGCAGTACAAAAGCACCAACAAAATATCAACACTGCTAATGAGGAATGGTTTCATGAGTAACAGCTTATAAGTAATGTAAGCCAAATGTGCTTTATAGTAACTACAGTAGGTAAATCACAAAACATTACATCCATGATCAAGGCGTACTGATCACGTTTGTTAAATAGGCACAAATATCCAACGCACAACAATTCATAAATCACTACACATTAAAAAGAGTGAGAAACAAACACTAAATATTACGACAGATACAACAGGTAGACTGAACAACAAACTGAATGTGTGTTGTGTGATGTCAATATATCTGTCTGTGGTTGAGGCCTTAACTGAAAGCTTGTTTCCAACCACAAAGGCTGTGCCATCTAAACAAGTGGTTTTACTGTTTACAATGCCACAGACTTAATTAGTAAGAAAAGACTCTCTACCGTCTTTGACTATGATAAATGAACTTTCCACAAAGCGGGTTTACCATTTTGTTCATGTCATGTTATGATTGCTGTGATGCGAGAGTGAATACCACATGCAGATGATTATGAAGGAAACGTACACACGAGCATCGACGCAGAGCACAAATCTCACAAACAAACACACACTACACAGTATTATTTATCAGTGCATGTGTCACCACAGTCTGCACACAAACACACACACACACCAGGTCAGGTATAACACACTTAACATGCAGGCTAATACTCTACAGGCCACTTTAGTGTACGTACTTCTGTTTGTCGCGGGGCTCCCTGGTCTTACTGCTGCGGTTCTGCCGGTTGGAGGCCGGGATGGAGTGGACGGAGGAGCTCTTTTTGCTGGAGGAATGGGAGGAGTGGGAAGAGTGGGACAAGTTTGTTCGGGACTGGCCTGCGTTGTGGTCGAACTGCATCAGGCAGAAGATCAGGTCTGAGGGCACCAGCTCAAACTCATACGGTGGGTTCGTGATCACATATCTGCCCAGAAAACAAATGATAGGGACGATTAAATGTGTATAATACTTGAGGGGAAGCTGCAAACAGAGAAGGATACATCAAAGACAGAAAGGTATACTGTATATCGAGTACGCTTAATCCCTAAAACATTAAAAGGAGGAATATGAATAGATGTATGAGAACAAATGGATCAAAACTAAGGAGCTCAGTATTGCACAGTATTTACTTAAGGACGTTCAGAGACTTTTTAGAATTTCGTTTGTAACTAAAAACACTGTATATGCATGTGGAAATTATAAAGCAATTACTTGTATACAATAAAGAGAAAAAGTACTGCAATATTCATTATATTTAATACATGTTTTGTCAATAAGGAAAAACATTTTAATTACATTTCATAGATGTATGCATTACAATACAACATAATACTATTATAATAATCATGAGGCAATGCCATATATCATTTGAATAATGGGTTTGAATGGAAACATCTATGTCTGTTGAACAGTACGTTATTTATTTAGTTTAACAATTAAGGAGCATACTGATACGTTTTGAGCAATTTGTACTTGACTTGCAGTTATCTAAATGTTTTTATTATAGTATATGATTATCATTGGGTAATATATATTCAATACATGTCCAGGTCAATGTCAAAGTATTATCATTAGTCTCTTTTTTAAGTTTGTATTTTTTATTATTGAATATCTAAGACAAACATTTTAGATTGAATTAGTTAAAAGAATATTTTGACACAGATGAAAGGCAGTGTTTGTACCGTTTTGTGCACGGGCTCGGTCCATTGATGTGAGCGTCTCTTAATCTGTAGATTCCAAAGCACAGCATGTTGTACGTCTTCAGCGCTTTACAGAATAAGTCCCCATAGCAGCCGCCATCCTGATGAACAACAGAACAAAGACACCATCAGTGAGGTCTGTGTGAGAAACTGCATTGGTGGTAGTTCATGTATTGCTGAGGGAATCTTGTGAGCAAATGCAAACTGTTGGCAATGTAGACTGCAACAATATGCAAGGTTATTTGCTAATTCAATACAAATTATGCTATAATTCATCCAAGAAACAAATAAACACAGCATTGAAAGTTGTGAGTACAAATAACAAAAACCTACAATACAAAGTTGGAACCAATCGAATTTGGAATTTCTTTGATGGTGTTATTGTTTTCTCTAAAGCCATCTTCCTTCTCCACCCACTAAGGCCTGCTTTCCGTGATCACTGTCCTTCACATTGGATTAAGAGACGTGAGGAGCGGAGGCGGCCCGATGTGTGCTGCTGGGTACTGCCAAAACGTGTCATCTTCGCTTAAACATCCACTTACCCCCAAGTCTGCAAAAGGCCCGTCGTAGAGGGCTAGCTGGGCAACGCGACACCTGTCTCTGTTGGCCAGTGTCTGCGGTGTGCTGTATCCTCCTCTGAGAGCGTTCTCCTCAGCCAACAGGGCCTCCAGCTCTGGTGTGGCACCCCCTGTGACCAGCGTCCGAATCAGTGTGAGGATGTTATCATTGAAGTATGTCTGGGGAGAAGAGAGAGGGATATCAGTGAGCAGATGCCGGTAGAGTCACAAGTAGGGAGGTGGTAGATGAGGGAGAAAAGCAAAGCCCATATAGTGACCCTCAGACCCTAATCTTTTCACATAGTGATGACTGTGAGGGGAGGAGAAGACTATAGAAAGACTATAGAGGGCTCTGGTAGTAGCTTCTAATGTCTTGTTTTAAAAAAATATATATATATATATATTTGCATTTACCTCTATTGGTATGAGGCTTTGCAAATAGCTCTGGTTTTATCTGCTCAGGGTTTTGGAAATATGTCTTCGAGACCCCTTCCCACCCACAAGATACAACAGACTAAAATTACATTTTTTTTTTACATTGCATTTGAAGGATCAGCATTTCTGTTACTTTTGAAAATAGTAAGACCTCTCTGTACTGTTTTAATTAGAGCACATTTCTAAGAAGCAATTATTTTAACACCAGACCATTTCACTAAATCAAAGCAAGACATTTCGCTGCTGAATTCTATAAATGTTATTCCCCTTTCAGGGTGGATGAGGCAGCAATCTTGAGACGGTTTTATTGGATCAGATTCTTTAAAACATCTCAATGCCTGATGCATGAATATCAGAGCTCAGTGAGGTATTATTTATTTTAAATAACACCCCTTAAGTTATTCATTGTAAAAAGTATTTTATAAGGTTAAGGTAGAATGTCCATAAATCAATCAAATTTAAGAGAGACATGATATTTTGATAATCACAGTATTGTAGGATCATTCCGTTAAATAAAAAACAGTTACTATTCGTTCCTCTAGCATCACTGATCTACACGCTGTATGGTGTCTGCTTCTGAAACAGCGATTTGACTGCGCTCTGCGGGTGTCAGGTTCTCTTGTCCTTCAAGCCGATCAGGAACTGCTTTTCGGCGTGTGAAGACAGCCGATGTCACTCCGCAGCGGGGCCAGAGTGGCAGCTCCTCTCCCCGGGCCCCTGACAGGCCTGCAGAGCCTCATGATGGATGAGCACTGTCCATTAGCTGGCTTCACCTCTGACCAGTGCCAGACTACAGCTGACGCCTGCTCTACTCCCCGCTCAGCTCCGCTCTGAACGCCCCTCTAACCCCTCACTCACAGAGAAAGCTGCTGGAATTAAGCCATCACAGCACCGAGGGGAAAACCACAGTTGGGCATGAAAGAGGGGAGTGGAAAAATGAGGTGTAGAGGAGGATTTCTTTTATCTCCCAAGCTCCCCCTTTATCATATCTCCAGTGCAGCAATGACATTGTCAAAAGATGAGAGAGTGTTCCTCTGGCTTGTTACTTCCAAGCTTGTGCCATCACCATTACACTAACCTTCAACACTTTCTTTGTTAAAGGATCTAATAAGGCTCTTGAAAGTTGAATTCATAATGTTAATGTCAATGGAGCTGGCAGGCATGGGCGATGAATGTAGTATACATTTCATTTACCAACTTCTGCCAACTTAAAATGCCAAAATCGTGCATCCACTATCCTCCTTTTTCTCTACTGGGTAAGCATTCAATCTCACAGACGGCCATTAGCTTTCCTTTAAAGTGAACTACTGATATGTCTCGCAATAATAGTTTTATCTAACAATAAACTTGAGTATTTGAAAACAGGTTTCTAATTGAATGTGAAATAACAGAAAAATAGCCGTATAAACACCAAAAAAGGCAAAAGAAAACTGAGAAATTCACTAGATTCTGGGTTTCTGGGGTCCGACTCAGTTCTGCTCATCTTTTTCCCGCATCCTAAAGTTTCTACAAATGCAACAACATGCAATTGTTACCCGGTAGACGCAGCTATGTACTTTGCATGAAACCTCTCTCTACCTTCTATTATTGTGAAGACTCAGTAAGAGCATCCAAACACACAATTTGTCATTTAAAAAAAATGGTCTTGAAAAGCACTCCACACGAGTGTAAAGTGTGTTTGAGAACTCACCGCGCTCATCAGGGAGTCGAGTACACTGACAGCGAAGGCAGTGCCGCAGGCAAAGGGCTGAGTGAGGTACAGCTCCGTGTCTGGGTCGTCATCATCGTCTTGGTCCAGGAACTGAACGTTGGAGTCGTTCACTGAGAGACGGGAGGGGGAGAGTTAGGGACGGGCGCTGTGAAGAGGCATTAGCCAAACACACACCCAGACACTAACACACCTGAGGGTTTATTGAGAGTTACATTTGAACATATTTTGATATATTGTAGTATATAAGTAATGTAACAAAACCATCTCAGGTATATTGGTATTGATCAAGGCTGGCAATATAATGTAACAACAGATGCACATTATATTTTGCTAACACACCTGTGCACATATTTCTTTATTAAAAGATTAAAACTTAAATTTTTCTTAAAAAAATTGACAGGTTTTTGACCTATGAACTGATTTACCGATAATCAGTTTAAAATTCAACTATATTTTATTTATAATATCTTATTTTTTGTCTAATAGTCTGTTTAAAAATTAACTAAATATGTTATCTATAATTTGTAATTTTTTGTCAACAATTTTTTAATAGTTTTGTTTATGTTCATGAACTATACGTTTGTTTGGATTTTTTGTGGAATACTTCCAAATATTGAATATTAAATCTATTGTATATCACATGCAGGGTGCATTTTATACATTAAGACAAACCACACATAAAAGAGAAGAGTCTTTTTTTGCATACAAAGTGATAACCATTGTCGAAGTCCATAATTCTGAATAATTCATACATTTATCCTGCATTAGTACATTAGTAGCCACTGTATCTTGATATATTGTAAACACACCAATTCTCAGTCAAGACACAATGTCCAGTCGGTGGGTTGAGTAGCCAGCTAATATAAAGGACATTATCTTTTCTCAGAAAAACGTCACAAAACTATTTCTCGTTGTATCCAGTATATAAAAAAGCGAGACTTCAACAATGGCTAATATGTCACTTGAGAAAATCATGCACTTGTAAATTCATGCTTTTCAGAGTTTTCCTTGATAAATGTGTTTTTTCACATCATCACCTTCAGAAAAAAATCATCTCAAATATTTACCTTTGCCCTGAAATTCAAATTAAAGTCTGGTAACAAAACACACTTCCTACTGTATCTCATGACTAATAATAGCCAGGATCTGCTACATGGACTAAAGGAACATTTAAAATGAAAATAAACCCAAACCAAAATAACAAAGATATGTTTTGTCTCTCAAGTATGGCATATATATGGCATAATTGGTGCACTAAAAAACACAAAGTGTTCCCCAGTGTGAGCCTTTTCTCTTAGATTGTGTTTCTGTCAGCAGCGGGCAGGGTGTATGAACTTGAAAAAAAAGCATCACACAAGTTTTGTTTGACTCCTCTGTTATCTGAGCTTTAGAGATATGGTCTGGGAGGGAAAAAAGAAACTGGAAAATACATTTAAAAAATAAATAAACAGCCTAAAAGATGGTTTGATCTTGAGTTTGTTGTTTTTGAAATCTGATTTCTGCTCAGGCTTCCAGTGCGCTATGGAACAGAAATGTCAGTCAAAGAGACAAGAGGCTGACGCAAACGGGCCTGGGCCAAAGGATTGAAAATGTGTGTGTGTCTGCTTGTGTGTGTGTGTGTGTGTGTGTGTGTGTGTGTGTGTGTGTGTGTGTGTGTGTGTGTGTGTGTGTGTGTGTGTGTGTGTGTGTGTGTGAGTGTTTGTGGAGGAAGAAGGGGGGTGAGGGGCAGGGGGGTTGTTGCTATGAAAACAGCCACAAGGACAGACTGAGCATGATCAAAAGCCTAGCTAGGCGCTGCAAAAGCAACTGGAGGAAGAAACTTTTTTTTTTAAAAGGGGGCCAAAACAAGACAGTCAATTTCAACCAGAACGGAGAATAGAAATGTGTTCAAAATGAAGCCATGGGAGCAGCGAGGGCCTTGACTGCAGCCAGATAAATCAAGACAAGCTGATGAGGAGCAGAGCGGCGAAGCGAGAGAACGAACGGCAGCAGAGGACAAAGGCCCGGCTTACCCAGCTCTGTTATCATTTGAATGTTGGTTCCACTGACTGAGTGAAACCAATGGCAGTAGTTTGCCAGGTTTAGCTAATGGTGATGAGACAGCGCAGGGAAGGGAAGACATGGTGTCGTTACTGAAACAGTTTCAAAGACTGCAATAAATGCCTTTTGCTGTCTCAGACCACTCGTGTCAACCCTGGGATTTACTCCGAGACATTCATGGTTGTCCGGTATCTAAGAGTAAAGCACCCTGGATTAGAGTGCAGTGGATACAAAGCCAGAGCTGTCAGGCCTCTATACCACTACAACAACAATACATTATTTCACGGCAAGACAGTGAAAGGGATAAAGAGGGTCTTATCCATAAACACACCTACTATATGCCACGCACACAAAATAGATCATGCAACTCGTGTTTTTATGTTCCAACTACACTTTAATCTGCTCCTGGCGCTGTAGACTGAACATATGACAATGTAATTACAGTACCGTTCCAAAAAGACATGCAACTGCTCCCTCCTTTGCACATAATACTGAAGCTTTCAAGCCCAGGATGGCAACCAATGTCTTCTACATGGATAGCATCTACTTCTGATAAGTACGTATGCGGTCAGCAGTCTAATGGCAAGCGCCTCTCTGCAGGTAATGGCTAGCCCGGTTACAAGTAACATTAGGTAGCTCCTTTCTCTTTCTGGCCTTTTCTTAGCTGGCCTCATGCTCCATTGCTCCCTAATTGGGTCAGGGGAGACAGAGTAGCCAGTCTCTGGTGCTTTAGAAGGCCCCTCAGAGATCTGAAAGTTTCATGAGTCCCCACCACCAGTGGGAATACAGCCACTGCCATTGTTATTAATAAATGGACCCATTTTGCAACCAAGGCAGTTTTTTTTTTTACCCTCCACCTTTTCACTCTCTTTCCCTTTTACCATCTCTTGTGCATTAGTGGACAAATGGCAGGAGATGTAACTATAATCCTTCAAATGCCTGTGTGACATCCTCAAGTTACAGCTGTCCACAGTGTCCTCAGAGGAGAGATATCATACAGGCCTTGCAGCTAACATTATCACCACTTGACAAAAAGCTAGCCAGATCAAATGATTCACTTGTGAAAATGAACTTGATTTGGGCAAAGCTACCAGCACCATGAGAGTGAACCAGCACCATGAGAGTGAACAAATTCCACACCACACATTCCTCAAGCCCATTTGACCTTGAATGAGTTGGAACTTTTGGAAGCAGCGTGACGAGTCTTGTATAATCAGCTTTATGTGTCTGCCAGTGAATTGGGAGTTGATCTGAGTTGATCTGAGGTTATTGGGTATGGGTAAGGGTAATGTTTGCATTTGAGATGTGTGTTTATAAACGGCTTTACCTAGTTCTGTGATGATGGGGATGTTGGCTCCGGTGGTGACGGAAGCCTGACGCACAAAGCCATGTACTGGACTGCTGTCTGGAGATGACCGGTCCATTCCAGGAGGCGTGAAACCTGAAAAATTACACATAGATTTATAGAATTTAGCAAATATATAAGAGGCTGGCAGTAAGAGAGATACAAGGTTTGTAATAACTTCTTAAATATTTGTATATACCAACATGGAATTACTACATTGCCACTGAAACCCACATGATACCTTTCACTATGCCTTCAGAGAATGTGGAAAGGAAATACAACCTACCCACCAAAAAGGTCATTACGATTACGTTTTCTAAAAAAACAAAAAAACAATCAACTTAGATTGATAGGATTGAATGAATCTCTGTTTCTCGTCGTACTATTAATATTTATGTCAAAATCAATAAGCAATACATTTACAATTTATTATATATAAATCCAATTGAGTCCAAATCTGGAATGGCAGTTACTGATGTGCAAAGTTAGTTGCTTTATTATGAGTTAAGCTGTTTTTGCTCTCTATTATAATTGGATTTAGCTACTGCCTCATGTCATTCTTTGGATTACATTTAGTAACTGAATTACAAAGATGTGAGTTCATCAAAATGGATATTTCTCAATAGAACAACTGGGGGAAAATCAAGCAAGTCTCATGAGCTAGCTTGATATAGCTCTCTTGTTGTTTTGTTGATAGCCTTTGGCAAATCTGAAGTGAAATGATGCAGTTTATGGCAGAATAATAGATGAAACACTTGAAATGTAATATTCTGGTCAGCAGGCAGTATGGTCTGTTGCATTCTTTTTAGATAAAAAAAAAAGAACAATCCAAGCAAAAACCAGTCTGATAAGTGTTTTACTGAAGAAGTATCATAAACAAAAGGATGTGACCTGGAACTCTGTATCAGTACCATTATCCATAGTGCATGTCAGCTCAGTCAGCATAAGGTTGTTGATGTGTGTTTTCTGTGTCATTCAATTGTGCGAATTGACAGAAAAAATGAAGGATGGGAAGGCTAAGTAAACAAGGCACCTGCCTAAAAGTTGCAATACGGATACTGTGCTTTTAGGGGTCAGCTAAGACATATTTAGCATTCACATCCTTCCATCAACGAGGAAACATAAATGTTAGATGTTGTTCATTTTGTTACAATAAAATTGGTGAAGTGGATCCTGAAAACCTTTTATCGGAAATGGTGTGGCAGGGACCATGAAATACAAGTGCAAGTGACAGGAGTGTGAATTCACATGACTTCACATTTTTGCATTTCCTCAAAGTGACAAGTAAACACCTTAAATCTGTAATGCTATATGCATAATGCATCAACTGTGTTTTGACATCCATCATTTAGTGCTGACTACAGCAAAATGCCAGTTTATAGTGCCACCACCAAGGAAAGATAATGCAGGGAATATATTCAGGTCACAAAGTTTTAAAAGGATTGCAAATTCGCTATGCATGCGAGTGTGTGTGTGTGTGTGTGCCTTTCCTGTCAAGAAACTCAATGAGCTGCTTACATTACAAAAGAGATCTTCCCGCCCTTTCCAACAGAAACGACAACAAATAGTTTAGTACACAGTAGGAAGCACACACTGTACTGAAGCATAGATAATCATAGCTCTTGTTATACCAATTATTGAACTTGGAAAAAGCAGAGGTTTGACACTTTGAGTCAACCAGGGAGCACAAGCTCAGACAGTGCGAAATATCATTTTGTCGATGTCCATAAAGGTTGATGTTTACTCCACTGGAGAGTGACAGCAAGTTTTTGGGATACGGCCTCTTAAACACTGCTCTTATTGTATCATAGTGAACATGCAGACAGCACGGAACTGTAGGAGAACAGCTTCTGTTTTGCACAGTGTGCAAAGTGACTGTTGGTGAGAACAGCAATACACGAGGCCTGCTGCTGAGCTGCGTTCAAAACCTGTTAGCTTACAAACAGCTCAGAAGTTGTGATGTGAACTGGTGAGCTCCAAACAGAGAGCTGTATGTCTTCCTCAGATGGAGTCAGAGTACTGCAAACATGTGCTAAAGCTAAAATGTGTCTATTTGCCTAATCATAGTTGTCCTCTAAATCAGAATGAATTCAAAAATGTATGTCTATCTCTTTATGCAACTAAACCTGAAGGCAAAAAGAGTTACAATTGATCAATATACATTATACTTATTTTCTACAGTAATTGGCTGTTTTAGTCATCCTGTACTTTATCAAATATAATTATCTTATTGAGAAATTACAATTTAGAAGCCAGGGTTTGAACAGTAGCCGGATCACACACTATGTCTCCTCTACTGGCAGGATGTTGCTACTGTGAGGCTGTAACCTTGTCTGTTCAGCTAAAATACACAATAGACAAGTGAGATCTGGGTTACATACCCCCTTACCCCTGTAGCCCCCCGGGCACAGCTATGCTTTGCGGTTGACTACATGCTACAGCAGCCGTGAGAAGCTCTCCCCCAGGAAAGTGCATGTTTACTTATTCATTTGCACCTTCTTGTTTTAAATTCCACAGACAGTGTCTGAATGGAAGCATCGCTAGAAGGAAGGAATCCCCAAAGCAATACCTATGATACAATACTGGTGTCTGGATATGTGTGTCCTTGTGTATGCATGATTGCATTTCACTGTGGTGTGTGTGTATGTGTTTTCTAAAGTGAAGTATTTATCACTGAAATGGGTGGTTGATGTAAGACCCAATTATTGATGACAATAGGCTCCATCCATCGACCCTGGGAGAGGATATAGGCTAGTGTGCTTCCATATTGAGGGTGGCTCTCGGTGAATACTGCTCCCCTGAGCGGCATGCTCTAAGATTTACCCCTGATTATTGTTCCTCGGTGGCACTGCTATCGACAGCACATCATTCACTCAAGGCTGGAGAAATAACAGCATTGGCATTCTCCTAAAACATGTGGAAGTGCTCAGCACTAAAAAATAATGGCCTCTTGGACCTTCAACTTTGATTTGTATTTACAACACTCTCTGCCGTGGCACTAAATAGCATCGAGCTCAAGGGATGTCATGCCTTTCGGGCTAATCATAAACTGAGGATTACCTGTTTGTAGGTAACGATTTTGTTGGCATCTATGTGTGTATGATACGTGCGCAGAAACACGTGCACGCGATTTGAAACTCGACTATGTGTGCACGCTTGTAACGCTGTTTTGTTGTGACTAATGAGGAGCAGCTGAATTGGCCTGCCTGGTGATTTGTACTAGCTGCTTAATGATGATGAGGCCTGATGGGATGCCAGGTTCGTGTGTTTGTCTGCAAACATCAACAATCTGTTCCAGACGATCTGCCAGACACCAGATCAGGGGGAACAACATCAAATGACACAGTCATGTTGATTACATCATTAAAACAAAGTATTATCAAGGAGTTTTAACAGCATGTTATTACCAGGAACACGACTGAAATCATCCGAAAACGATGTGTAGTAAACACTCTTCAAAGGTTCGATGAGGCAATCAACAAAATGTTTAGTGTGTGCACTTCTTCAGGAGTACAGTAAAGTCAGTTCATAGCTGCCACTTACCACAAACTTGAACAGTATTTCAATGAGCGGCACTTAGCAGACTGTGCTTGACAAACTACATCTATTCCCCCTGTGTGGCCTTCTCATCCCCTCCCAATCTTTTCCTCTCTTTTTTCCCCCCATCTTTGACAACTGCCTTTCCCCCCTGCCATAACCTGTCCCCTTTGGGCTGTAGTGCAGATGGAGTGTAATAGGACGCTCCTTACCTTGGGAATTAGCCTGTAAGACCCCAATGCTGTCATCAAACTGCATAGATTTGATGTTGAGTGATGCCAAGATGCATTCCTTATCCTGCAGTGAGGCATCTTCGATATTGTTCTGATTGGCTGACAGTATTACGCACATGTCGCAGAGGTTGATGTTGACAGCCCTTAAATCTGCCCGACTTAATGGCGTACCCTTCAGGGTGAGGAGAACAGAGAGAAAGAGCAACAAAGAGAGAGAGAGAGAGAACAGCCAGACAGAGGGGAGAGAAAAACAAATGTAAGGAGTGAGCAGAGTGGAGCTTTGGGAAATTAGTTAACAAGTATTCTTGTTTTGAGGCGATGACATTCCACTGATCTAACTGGGCATTGGAGAATCAGAGACACGGACTAATCTAAAGGCTAGCCTGTGCTGAGGGCTGTGTTTGGGATTCTCCTCTGATCATCAGTCAAGCCAGGCCTAACAAGCTCTCAGGCAACAAGCCACGCCATCTGTGATGGGCACTGCAACACACATAAACTTCATTTTCGATGTGGAGGATGTGTCACTGCTCTGGATGAGGGGGGCTTACTACTCTCTCATTGAGTGATCATTCAATTGAGTAATGTGTGATCAAATCAAACTGACAATCCCTCTCAGGATTTCAATGTGCATGCAACTCAAAATGTCAGTGCGTTGTTAGTTGAACAGAAATTCTGGTTTAAATGTATCTTGCGTGGCAGTACGGTATACTCACAGGTAAGATGGAGACCTTAGGGAAGTTGTGTAAAGTCTCCCACTCTCTTCGCAGGTATTCCAGCGAGCCCACAAAAACTATTGGCTTTAGTTCGTGGTAATGGAAGTTACTGGCTCTTAAAGGCATCACCAAGTTTCGCAGCCCCACCAAAGCGGACGTGACATCCCCAAATATACAGACCACCACATGGCCGCTCAGTACTGTCATGGAGGCTTCACTCCGGGTCTGCAGGGAACAGGGGAGGGATAGGGAGAGAAGAGCAGAGAGAGAGGAGGATGAGGAGGAGTGCAGACATAGAAGAGAGGAAGACACACAGAGACAAACACAGAATTACAGAGAAAAAGAACGGATTAATGTGCATGAAGTGACACATTCTAGTTTTAACTATGTTTAAAAGTCTGTTATAAACTGTTATAAACTAATATAAAATAGTTTGTTAACCAAGTATTTAGCTGAATTATGTATCCACAATAAAAAAACATTCTATCAACAAGCCTTACTATTAACACATAAACAAAGTTTGGTTAACCACTATTCTGTTTATAAGCAGTTTATTGAATAAGATATAGGAAGTTTACACATCAAAAACACAACATGTGGTATTTTTTCAAAGGGCAGAGAAATGCAGTTTGTAAGATTTTAGGCACGAACAGTATGTATGAGTAGGACCCTGTCATAAATCAGCGAGGTATAAATAAACAAAGCTTCTCTATTGTATGACGAAAAGATCAATGTGATGCCCTGCTTTCAAGATCTGTCGCCTGTCGCAGCAGCTTGATGTGCATTTGATTGCAAGTTTGAGTGTACGCTGAGTAAACTAAACGCTACTATGATCCCAGTGTATTTGAAACTAAAACTGTATCTTTGTTCACTGGAGACATATAGAAAAAACAAGGGACCACTATTTTAAGTTTTCCCATACTGTCAGTTAGTGATCTGATGCATTATACATTTTGTTCTGCATTATTTATTGGTTTAAAAAAAAAATGGATGACCCAACTGATCCTTTACCCCCCCTTTAACTACTGTAATTAAATCAACAAATATGCCCTAATGTAAACTATATAGCTTACTGTGTTTTAAGGTTTTGATTTCATTTGAACAGTGTTTACCTCGTCCAAACAAATTGTGCACTAACATAAATGCTTACAAACTGCCTTGTTGAAACATCCGAGCAAACCCATGCGTGGAGTATTGAAATGCTGTTCACAGATCCTTGGTGGATATATAAAAAACAATAAACTCACCTTGAAACAACAGAGAGGCGGTGAGAAAAATGTCAATATACATTAGTATGTGATTGTTTTGCTACAATATCGAGGGGAAACGTTGGCTCCTGAGCATACTTACTTTAACTTTTGTTACCGCATATTCTATAATATTTTAGGGGTTATGCAGTTACAAGGTTTTTGCCTCACTCACCAGGATGACTTTTTCGATCTCCTTTGACGGGCACCAGTGAAACATCCCTGTCGAGTCATACCTCTTCACGTTCATGTCCATGCTCTCGATTTGTTCATTTCCAGGAATAAGAAGGGGGTCGTGTCGACTGAGAAAACAGTACGATTTATTTATGTTAGACCATTTTGTGAATTGAACTTGTGGAGAAGGGAGCTGTAACGTAAAAAAGGCAAAAGACCACCAGGGTTTCTTGAGATGTTCACAGTCTATTCATACAACGTATCAAAAGTCCATCACATTCTCAGAGTGTTGGACTTTCTACTGCACTACATACTGTATGTCCCATAACTATCATATCATTCATTCATTCCTTGTTGTCAAGTCATCAGAAAAACTCAAAGACCCTGGTGCTTGCAGCAGTGCAGAGAACAGCAAGACTTGAGTGCTACTGACTGAATGGCATGACAACACAAGGCCAATTACCAGCTTTTACCCTCTCTCCCAGCTCCTGACTCCACGCGGTGCAAATCGTAAAAGCTCCAACAGGCTCACACTTTAAATATTTCAGGAATTTGCCCAATCACATTTTGCTTTCCCAGCTGATGGCCATTAATGTTTCAGCAGCATGTCACAACCAAACAGGCTAATCCACAGCACTGGGCTGCTGAGTTTTATCCGGTGTAACACTGACCATGAAAGGGCTCCTGTCAGTCCTGTTAGACCGCCTCTCTTGTTCTTGCATTTATCCTACAAGATGGGTTCTCACAGTCTTTCAGGCAATCCATAACATTTCATCCAAAACACTGAGTCAGGATAAACTGAAGAAATGTAGCGTTGTTCCAGAATAAATGCTTGTTTTACAGCAATGCAAATGTCATTTATTTGCAATTCAACCAAAATAATAAAACCCTAGGTTAAAACAGCAAAAACAGGGAAGTGCAGAGAGACAGACATTTCAGTAATGTGGGAGAGAATATCTCAAGAGTTTGACATACATCTCTCTCAGTTTTATTCTCTCTTTCCTCTATCAACACTGTCATTCACTGACAACGCTTTGATGTTGCCTATTCCTTCAGCCAGCATTTGGGTTGCATACCAATGCAGTAAAAGTAAGAGTAACAAAAAAAAAGCTGTCAATTAGCCACCTTCTCTCTCCACCTCTCTCCCCTCTATCAGTTAGTGCAGGTGATAATAACACTGACAGCATTTAGTGTTTTTACACTCAGCCTGAATCTTTCATCCAGAGCCGCGTGTTGCGCCAATCAACTCCACAGAGCCCCCGTCACTTCAATCTGCTCAGCTCTGCTCGCCTCCACACAGGGGCTGACTGGCGCATGCAGGCGGGCTGCCGCTCCAGCTCTCTCTGCCAAGACAGCTATCTTTCACAGAGCTGTCAGCGGTGTGACTGGCAGGCTGTCACGGGCTCCACACACCTCCTTCTCCCTCTGCCTTCTCCCTGCCTCAGGATGAACCTAGCACAAGACTCGGGGAGAGCAGACATGACGTGTGTGCCACAGTGCCACGCCCAAGGGATATCAGCTGCAGATAATACTGTGACATCTTCTGCGATTGGATGCCTGACCCGTCAAAAAGGTTTGTGAGAATGGTGTTAATGCCATGGTGTCACTGCAGCTTGTTAGCACGGTGACACGTGACATTGGCAACTTGACAATTAAGGCATGTTGAGGATAAGAGGACGCAAGGTGTCATTACCCTATACAAATATTCATTTCTAAATACATTTTTCTTTCACCACCGGGAAGTTTACGCCCCATAAAACATTCTCTACATTTCAAAATTGTATAAATTCTAAGTTAGGATTGCAAAGTAAACATATTTCCTTGATGAGAAACAATATTTTATCTGATGCACTTTTATATAGGACAAATATTTCCCTTACAGCATGTCTCCCTTCAGTTTCTCACCCTCTTCCTTTCTTTCTACCTCCCTCCCTGCCTTCCTCACTATATATTTCAAACAGAGTTGAGTTATTCCAGTGTATCACTCTGCAGTCACAAACTGGGGATGGGCGTGCTCCCCCAATCCCTCTCTGCCAGACTACGAAGGCAGCCTCTTGCTTTGAAAATTTTCCCCATCATGCAAACTGACAAAGGCATGCTTTTCAAAAGCCCACAGCCAATCTGTTGATCATTATTTATTTACAAAGGCCTTCAGGCTGCAAGTCCTGTAAAAACCATACTTGATACGTATGCAAGCTCTCTACTGTGTTTTCCCCCTCCTTGCTTGTAGAATAAAGTATCCCTAAGGCTACCTCAAACAATCACTTTTCATTGTGCATAAAATCCACCTTGTAAAGCGCAACTGTTTAATATATATGGTGTTATACGTTGACGGGGGCAGCTGTGAAGGGGGGCTGAGGACTGTGATGGGTAATTTGATGTTTTGCTGAGGGCTAAGACAAGGAAAAAAATCTACACCTATAACAGAGGACCTGTCATCCCAGTACCCAAGAGCCAGCAGAATACAGAAGCACCCCTAAAGCTGAGAAAACTTTGACACCGCTTTGAAGCGTTTTCAAAACTGAGTAAATAACTCGCAAGAATTATTATCACTGCGAGATCAAAGCAAAGATGCATATATTACATGGCAAACAGGGACCATCTCCTAAGCAAAAAAAGGAAGAGAAGAAAGGGTTTTGTGCTTTAAGTTAGGCAAACTAAACAGCCTTTTAAACAAGCAGTTAGCTGGAAATGTGCCAATGTCTAGCAGTTCTACAAAAAAAGCATTCTCCCTCTGAGCAAGGGCAACTAAAAAGATTCTCTGTTGCAAACCAGACTGAAGGGTATGACTCTGTGTTGGGCTAATGATTCGGCAAGCGTGAAGGCTTATTAAGTGCTTGTTTTGTGGAGAACTGAGGGGGAGGCCGACAAAATACTGGACGACATCACATAGGCATGCCAACGCACACGGATAACTCTGCCTAAGGGAAGCAAGCAGGACCAACATACAAAGAACTCTACTAAACTATAAGGAAAATACACCACAGTCAAATAATAACCAAAAGCAAAAGAAGAGTTAATAGATAGAAATGAAGTCTATTTTAAGTGATATTTGTATTTGCAGATATTAAAATATGTTGGTTTTTTGTAGTTTTTCAAGATGTAAAATCCATTAAGATTTATGTTGTACCCACACAAATCAGATACAAGAGTTTCTAATGCAATGTAGCTTACACTGACAAAAACCACGCAGCTTTCTCTTTAAATTACAGTACATTCGTAGAGATGACAACCCAAACACTTTCCCTAATTAAGAGTAGGGCAGCGTAGCTATGAGTGTTCCTGTCCTCTTAGATCTTCTCCACCATGCCTTTATCCTGCCTTCCCAATGCGCACAGCTCGGCCTCCCTGTATTCTCCACGCTGCCGTGTTGCTAACCCCGCCTCGCAGCCGGGGGAGCACAAAAACCTACCCCTTTTATCTTTCAAAATCAATTAACAGCAATTTAATTCCACAGGACAGGATAAAAGGAAGGTAATATTTGAATTCATATTTGATTGTGATGATACATCGCACATATGGCCTTAAGTACCAGAAACAGTACTCACAGGGGTTCCCACAATAGAGGAGTAGCCTGAGGGCAAAGTAACCATGCAGGTCCCTCTGATTGGTTGCTAGTGTCATTAGTGCCAGCATTGTTTAAGGAGCACATGTGGACCAGACCGGAGGAGGTGACAGCTGGGACTTTAAAGCCAGAGGAGTTTTCAAACGGCTCCTCACAGATGCTTTTCATGACAGAAATATTATTTCAGCTCTGTCATTAACAGCTGACAGCATGCCATCCTAAACAGCCAGTGCCAAACAGGGCACTTCTCCGCTCTCTTTCTCTCATAGAGTTTCTTACCTCCTTCTTCTGCCACCCCTAATTTGCCCCCTCCCATCCATCCAAACTCCCACCATCTCACCATCCGCCTCTGAAGTATCTCTCACACGCATCCCTCCATCCTTTCCTCCCGTCCTCCCTCCCCTATTCCCTGTTTCTGACTTCCTCTCACTCCCCATTTGAAGTGCTGGAAGGAGAATAAAATCAGCTTCTCTTACCTCATCATTTTGGGCGAGTTGTTGGGTGAGTTTCGCATCCCTCCATTGCGCTGCTTTTTTTTGGGCGAGAGAGTTGATGGATGCTCGTCTTCGACTGCAAACACATGCACAGAATGTCAGAATAGAGACAGATGGTTGGGAAAGTGTGCTGGACCTGACATGAAAAAGAATAGCCAACACTCAATCAATCATTGCAAACAAAAAAAACAACAGAAGAAAAAGGAAATTAATAATTCAGTGTCAAATTGAGAAAATATAGAGAAAGCATTAGTAACGGACAATGGTAAATCTGAGAAAGGCAGGAGAAAACCACGGAGAAAGAACCAATTTACGACCTGAAAATGTTACGGAAGGCTCACATCCCAAAACCCCCTAGATTTTGGCTCTTCTACGGTCTACTTTAACAGGGCTTTCAGAAATACACTACTGCATTTTTTCAGTACACTTGCTCAATTGTGCAAATGGTTGGACCTCTAGCAGTCTGCATCAGAGTGACCATGCTTACAGTACCTACGCCATTATTTGCCATGTGATGGTACAGACTGTCATTGTCAGTGGGGCGCGGGCAAAAGCAATGACAATGAGATAAAGGTTATGAAGATGAATTTTGAGAGGATAGTTTTTTGTTTGGTTTTTAACAAAACTATCTATACCGCACCCTGTCATTCCAGTTCTAACTAAAGCGCACAATGGCTCTTCTACAGGTCTACCTCCATGCCAAGAGAACACTTAGCACTCAACACACATCACTAGGGACAGGGCACAAATTAGTGGATTATTAAAGCAGCTAAGACAAACACATCATCATCCACTAGAAGACAGTCAGGTCTAAGTTCAAATGAAAAATTAACTATTTATATTAGATGAACCATTTGGTGTTTGACGCTTTGGTGTTAAGCATTTGCAAGACGCTGATCAATAGCCACAATGTTTTTTAAGGATTATTTTTATCAGATTCAACTTCACCTTCTTGCCAAATATGCTTTTCTGTGCAAAAAACACTCTATTTTTCATACTTTGCTCAACTCGCAGACAGACAGAGAGGACGAGAAAGAGCAGCCAGATTGAGGCCAGGCCCAGGCGTCTGAAGATTTCAGGCAAACTAACAGCAGTCTGATCTTCACTACTGTCTGTGAGTTTCAAGAGCTTTTAGACAAGCACCGAGAAACTCTTATCCACTGTGCACTCTCCCAGCGCAAATGCCAAGTGCACCGTCACTTCAAACCCATATTAGTCTTTTGGTTAGAAATCAATAACACAGCATGATATTAGAGCGAATCCATGTGCACGCTGCAAGCCGTGACTATTCCAAGCATGTGGAAATTCATTATTGTCTGAGCCCCCGTCCAAGGCTGTCACCTAATTCTGCTAATAAAAGATAAGAAATATGACTTTGCCTTCTAATAAAATGTCATTCTCTGACATTTCCTTTATGCAATTGGGCATTTGGAGTAGCTAATAGAACAAGCAATTTCCACTTAACACATAATTCTCTCTATGTACTCCAACAAATATCCCATTAGAAACAATACATTCCTTCCTGGTTTAAACTTAAAATGTTTGTAAAATCACTTATAATTTATACCCACAACAATTCAATGAAATGCTTTGCAGCCTTTGGGTAGTAAAAGCTGTTACAGTAATGAATAAACCGTAAGCTCAGTATCCTCAGAGTTCAGAAGTGCCGCAGCATTTCTGAAAATAAAAACTAATAAGCAAATATTTTGTGTTTATTCTGAATATTCTAAGTTCACATAATGTAGCACTCCTCAGTTTGGAAGTCACCCTATGTAGACAGTAGCAGCCACTAGCAGGCACATCTGTGTAAAGCAGCACGAGCAGCAGAGTGAACCGTCATGCAGCAAACAAGACAATATGAAGGGACGGAGCAGGCGGTGTTACTGACTGATGCATCCCGCTAAGGGGGCAACCTACAGTGCCTACTGTGACTGAGCAGCATGGCATTACTGGGGTGGTAGCGGTATTTCACCGGCAGACTGCGGGCCCGGTTCAGACGACTCTCAGCCAGGGTTCTGGCCGCCACGTCTCCTGGACCTGAGACACTGAGGCGCAGTAGCGAGGGGTCAGCCCTAGCCCCCGGCCCCAGGGGGAGCAGGCTTCCTTTACGGTTATTAACAAGGGGGATGTTGGGTTTGCCCGGGTTGAACAGGGGCTCCTTGTTGGCGTGCAAGTTGTTGGAAAGGAATGCATTTGAGGTGATGGAGGTGGAGTTGCAGCCGGTGGTTTTAACAGATCGCTTTGGAAAAGAAGGTCTACCTTCATCCATTACTGTTAAAACAATGGAGAATAGAAAGTGTGAGAAAGCCTGTTTTAATTTAATTAATTTGTTAGTATTTAAATTATAGTGTTTAACTGTGGAAAACACTAGCTTTATTTGTTGCTATATTTGTTATATAGATTATTCTTTTAAAGGAAAATCTCCTTAAACAAATGGAATTAATTTATGTTATTTGAAATACAAGAGTGATTAGTATTAAAAAAAATCTGCATAAGAATCAAACACACACATTTAATTGTATTTTTAAAGAAGTGATTTCTGAAAGTCAAAAAATCCTGCCATAAAAGCAGGAATCATTTATCATTTATTTTCTGAAATGTTAACATCTCCAATCTACTTGGCACACGCCCTGACTGAAATGTTCACAGTGACATTTACTTTGCATTAGTGACAAACATGAATTAATAAAAAGTCTCTCCGTTTGTATTTCTTACTTGTGCTACAATTTGTGGTAGAACAAAGCAGAGACACGGCTTGGCTTAAGCCAGTCAAATCCAATCAGACATTGTGTCATTTCAAGCATAATGTGTACCACAGTACTTTCACTTCAACAATATAAAGCTACGACTAATAATTTATAATATTACTAATTCAAAAACTTTGTATCATTAAAAATTCATTTAGGATTGTGCATAGAAATGAGGTTTGAGTCCAGACCAAAAATGCATCTTTTCTCAAACATGCTGAATTTAACTGTAACTTAGCAGTAAGTTACAGTTGTCCAGTGACAACCTGCTGTGTCTAATATGAGAATAAATACTTTCTACTGCATGTAGAAGCCTGATGTTCACCCAGCAGTCATACCAAACAAACACACACAGACACATACACACATTGTGACTGAGGCTGCAGAGTCAAACCGTATGTTTGCATGTATTGAAGTGGTTGTTAAGTTGAATGGGAAAGGAGGAGCCCTGTTTTCCCTTTGGTGGAAGGGTGGTTGGTTGGTTGTTTGGAGGAGAGAGCATGCTTGGGTGGCCCCGGGCGATAAACAGACGTTTATCCCAGCCGTCAGCTGCCTCCTTGATTTACGGGGCGCCACCGATAGCTCCTGGATTCATCTGGCCCTTGTCAAACACGTGCAGCGTTAGAGAGCGCTCACCCGCCCTGGCAGGTCCACTGTGCATCCTGAACAACCCAGACGGCAACTGTCCCTTCCTGAAATGCTAATCACATGACGGTACTGTCCACCATGCAAGCTTTATCAGATCGCCGTGACCCAATGTAAACTGGATGATGAGGCAGAGGAATAACAACTACAAATGTTTACTTTTGTATGTGAGCGAAGCTGGCTTTGCCTTTACGGGGTTTGCTGCATGAGCGAGCTTTGTTCTTTATCTGCATTACAACTGCATGCAAAAGCGTTTATGCCATGCATTGCGGTTTCTAAAGATCAAACTTAAACTGATATACGACAGCTGCAATTATTTTTGATTCTGCTTAGAGGTAGCCACTATTTCAAAGAGGAAAAAAGAAATCAGTATGCTTTAAAAGAACAAATACATTGAATAAAACATGGAAAATGTTGCTTTTGAGGTGACAAAAGCATAGCAAAGCTAAATGTACTTTTAACCAGTAGGGTAAAAAAGTAATGCATTTAACAATAATTTAAGATTTACCTAAATTGCAATCAGCTTTGAATCGAACGCCAGCCTCTTTTTGACTTCCACTGTTCCCTGGTGTTGTAGCGCCATCTGCTGCTACATGCAGCACAATACAAAAAGAGTATTTTATGGAACTACATGGTATTATCAAACACAAAATAATTTATTTTCAGTTGCTATCAATAACAGGAACTTATTAATTAAATTATTAGTTTACGGTCAACATATATTGAAATTATTTAAGTTATAATAAACAATATGTCTGAGTCAAACATTGTATTTAACACTTATTAAACGGTACGTTTACTTTGTCTCTGTATAAGACAACATCAGTTTATTCTAAAGGAACAAGGGAGAACAAGGCAAATACTAAAGCAAAGCATCAGTATTATTTATGTTACATGACATTGTGAGGGGTCTACAGTCTAAACACAGAGCTGGAGCAGAATGGAGAAGGACAGAGAAACACACTTACGTGATCTGACATATCCATTATACTTATATTTGGCTGAGGAGAATGCAAAGACAAGTGGCAGGTCACACAGGGGGATAAATGATGTAATGAAACAGGCACATTAGGAAATAGAGACATGGAAATAAAATCAAATGTAACTATGATGACGTAGAGTTTTAGTGAAGAGGATGAACCAGATATTAAAAGGTACAAATAATGGAGATTTTGTAAAAACCTTATAGTGGTAACGATTAAAGAACGGCATGATGGTGCAGACGGCTGAGTGAAAAGAACTATCCATTCTCAGAGTGAGCCATGCTTTTAGGAAAGTGTACTTAACCTCTAATGAAATGTAATGGCAGACTAATGGTTGTTTAAAAAAAAAATCTAAAAACTATTTTGATGGTAAACAGTTTCAATGGTAGATTCAACAACTTAATGTTTTTCTCATTTAATACTTTGAAGTATTACATGTTGATTTAATTGTGATGGACATTGTGATGTCTGTAAATAGAACAAATAAAGCCACCATGGGGAACAAAGACATCAACTTCACATATGAGGGCATGTAGACGTCCAAAACACAGACAGCAGACACTCGCTAGTCAAAACAGCTGCGCTTACAGAGCACCAATGCAAAGAGACTTGATCTTCGGGTGCAGTAAACATCTCTTGCACAAATTGACTTTTTTTTAAAGGACGATGCCAAAGATGGGTACAATGCTACACTTTCAAATCTCCTGGGTTATTCTTTGAAAATGCTTGACCAAGGTCTCCACTTATGCCAGAACTATTAATTATCTGGGAATTAGAGTGTATGACCTTGACTGAGGAGGCACTGAAGACTGGTACCAATAGAAGTACTGGTACAGCGGGCACTTGAACTGAGCTCTGAGCTGCTGACACTCCCCTCTCTTTCCCAGAGTCTCTTCCAGCAGTAAAGGTCACAGCGAGGGCCTAGGGCTGGCCTATGACACAGATCCTCAAACAGGGACCCACAGTGGCCCTGGCATCTGTCTGTAGCAATCTGCCCGCACCGCAGAGGCGGCAGACTAACTGGCTAGCATCTGGGGCGTAGCGAGGCGGCATAGGACAGAGGGTAAGGGGGGGGGGGACCAAGCCTGCCTGGTGGACAGGAGCTGTCAGGGCAGGTTTGGTGACGGACCAGCAGGGCTGGGAAAATGAAAATGCAAACATAATTTCTGTGTCAGGATAGATAAGGTCCCCAGCAATGAGATAAAAGTGCATGTGGCTACACACACAGATGCACACATGCACGCGCACAGAGCCCAGAAGGCCGAGGAATAGCCGAAAGCATCTCCTGAGTCCCAAACCCTTGTCCATAGCCCAGTTTTAGCTTTAGTCTCTCAATTGTATAAACCTGTCACATCTCTACTTGCCAACTGCGATGATGAAGTGACAAAAGAAGATATGCAAGTAGGAAACACCACCAAAATAAACAGCTATTTCAGCCGGAACGACTCTGACGTAGAAGGCAAGAACCAGTATACACAACCATACAAGGGGGAATTCTACTTCATATTCTGCTATACCTAAATACACAATTTGTGCTTTGAACGTTATGTTTAACTATTCACAAGGGGTAGAAATAGCTCAGCTTCTGTCAAATGTTTCACACAGTATATTTTTATGCAAAAGATCAACTCATGCTCATGTATCATCTTATTTGCACTTCAAATAATCCATTCTATGATCATTAAAGTAATTAAATATATGAAAGATCTATCATAACAGTATTCTGCATTCAACTATTTTGCTTATTTGTGCACAAAAGGTTTATCTATTTCACTTTTTAGATAATAAAACCCCTTGAATGAGTGCACATTAAAAAAGGTTATTAATGTCATCATTAAAGTCCATAAAGCAACACAGAGGTTTATGTTGAAATCACCATAATGAAGGGTTCTGTGTCGCACTGTGTATGTGTGGTCCGAACGTGTATCAGTACACAGGGTGCATTTAAGTGAAAGAGGCCTATTTAAGAAATCAATTATCCAAGCACTAAATCTGGTTCAGATGTACAAGAGCATGGAGTCATCATGGATAAAGACGTCTTATCCTGTCAGTCTGGTGGGGGGGGAAAAGAGGTGGAATGGGGAGGGGAAATCCACCAATCCCTGACTGACAAAGCCCAATGCACTCCTTTACTAAACTCACGTTGTTCAGACAAAGTCAGAGTTAAAAAGGGAAAGAAATCTAAGACGGAGGAGGCTTTTCTGAAATCCTACAAGGGGTTGAGGGAGAAGTGAGATCAGTAACCATGTAATGGCCAGTAATTGGTACCGAGGGATATCCGCGCAGGCCGAACTACAAGAGGCCAAGCCAAACTCATCATGGCGTGTTTGACACTAATCTAGGCTGAGTCGGCAGACGGTGAGAGAATGTTGAGGAGGAAATCAGATCTGTACGTCTAAACCGAAGGCTTTGATAGCTAGGCCGACTGCTGCCATGTGTAATTGATGAACAATTTAGTATTTCCTATCCACTCAAAAGGAAAATCGAAAAGGAGGGTGATCTGCCATCATCCTCCTACCTTTTCTTATCAATCAAACTATCACTATTTGTAGCTCCTTTTTGCCTTTTCTGGTTTTACTTATCTATTTATCTTTCCTCTTTCTTACTGTGCGATACAAAACCCCTCTCTCCCCCCATTTTGTTTTTCTTCTCCTTCCTCCTAATTCTCCTTCCTTCTCTCAGTGTATGTGTCTAAGACTGTTAGACCTTTCTTAAGACCATTTCAAACAATATGCGAGCAGAGGCTAAGCAGAACATTTTATAGGTCAAATGTTAAATTTGACTATTGTTCCAAAAACAATGCTGGGTAATTGTTGTGTTTTTCCTGCTCTAGTATTGTTTTAATTTCCTAAAAGAGTAAAACGGCATTTCAGCTGCTTGAGATAGAAGTGTTACCGATAAAAAACGTGTTTTAACATCTGCGCCTCATTTACAATGATCTGCAAGACTGTTAGAAATCTTCCAAAAACTGTTTCATGTGTGATTTTCTCTTATCTTCGTCATTAAGGGGAAACTAAAATCTCTACAAAGTTGTTTCAAAAGGTAAAAGAAAAAAAGGAACAGAAGCAAAGCTGATTAACTGAAAAGTGTACAAACTGAAAACAATGTTAACTAAGGTTGTTAAGGACTTTCAAAGTAAATATACAAGACAATAATTTAACAGACATTATCATTAAATTGTAGGGTGAAACCTTCAGAAATACGTGCCATTATTGAATACACAGATACCTTACCTCCAACAGTTTTAAACACATTAAATCAAATAATGATATTATCACAGAACTGCATGACTGATGCAGCATGCGGTAGCCACATATAAAAAAACTACAGTACTGTACAGTATAGCAGCACCACAGAGCCACACCACCACTGACCCACCACACATAATACACTCACAAACTAAAAGTGCCAAATGATAATGATGGAAAACATAAACAGAATATGATAAAAATGCAACTGTAAATAACTAACAACATAACATAGATAGGTAGATAGGTAGATAGGTAGATAAGTAGATAAGTAGATAGGTAGATAGGTAGATAGATAGCATTTGAAAGAAGGAAAACAGCTAAGTAAAATCTGTTCATAAACAAAAATGAATACATTCTATGGAGTCACGGTTAACGGATTACACACATAGTAGACGCCACAGACACACAGGTACACGTACAGCACCTCTGCGAGGTACAATACACATGGAGCACACACCACAGACATGTAACAGCATGTGTTGGGCGGTGTAACTTACAGGCACGTAAAGTGGTTGCGCAATCATGAACAGAGACAGAGGAAAGTGGGTAGGCCCTCTGAAGGGTGTCCATGTTACTATGTACACTGCCTGACATGCAAGAGCAGTCTTGCTCTGAACGGCCGCAATCAAAACAACATGCCAGTTTCATTCTTTTGTAGACGGACATCCTGGCTACAGTCATGTTTTGGGATGAGAGGAGAGGAAAAGCAGCAGGTTAATGGCAAAAGGAGAAATATTCATCCAGGGGAAGTCGGAAGGTATCTTCATCAGAAAGTGCAAGCCTTAGCCACGTGCTCTGACAGACTAAAGCCACACATTTAACTTACTGTAAACATTTAAGCGCTGACATTACAACAATTACTTTAACTAAACAAGTCATCCAATAACATTTTCTTTTGACTGAAAAAATACAATTTGGACACTATATTTGTAATTAAATGGTCAAAAGCCAGCTCATTATTTCTCGTCATATTGACATAGTCTGCAGAGGTCAAGCTGTGTGCTAAGGCTGTAACAGGTCAAAAGGCAAAACTATAACAGTGGGAAAGAGGGGTGAGGAGAAAGGATAGTGGGCGGGAGGCATTCAGGGAAGAGAGGCATGAGCAATGTCTTCAGCAGCAAAACTCATATCATGTTTCACACATTTGTACATCCTCTATCCATTTGGCTAAAGGAGTGGATCACGTACCTGTATCCCAGCATGCAGCTGTAGCGGCTCTGTCCAAGGCATCGCACTATTCTACTGGCTAGATGGGCCAATTCATGCTACTGTTTATTCAAACCCTTCACTGCTCCACTCCCCAAGGCCAGCTCCACTTTTATGTGTATGAGTGCAAAAATAATCTAAAGAGAATAATGATGTTTGTAATTTTGCTGTGATTCTTCATATAACTTTTGAAAGAGAAAACATAATTCTTAAAAATATTAGTTTATAAGTATTGCACTATATATTTTTAAATTGTGTAAATTCAGGGTTTATAACTTGCAAATAAGTGGGGTAATGATGGCTCTCCTTTTTTCGTACCAAATTCACTATCAATGGAAATGAATACGGTAAAAATGTGTTTCACTATTGCGTTTCAGAATTGGATTTATACTAGGAAAGTGGTATATTTGTGTTGCTTTGCTGCATATATGCAAAGTGTCTGAATACCAGCTCCTAGTGTTTTTAGTAAATGTATATTCATAAGGATATACATGAATGCCGCTATGATTGTATTGTTTAAAAACAAAAAATGCAAGTAGTGCACTCTTTGGGTATGTGAAAGTAGTATAATAACACAATAAAAAACGTTTTAACTACTAGCTAACCTGTAGCCAAAAATATGGCCACTTCCTGTCTTTGTTGTTTGTATACGTGTGTTGCTGTGTGTAAATGTGTGTGTTTGAAGCTCTGAGCCCCGAGGGAAGCAGGAGTGAAAGCCCCCAGAGTAGCACATCTAGATTGCTGTGACTCTGGGCAGAAACAGTCCCTGGTCCCCATTCTCTCATTACCAAGGTGCAAACAGACAGCACACTAATACTGTCTGGTATCTTTACAGAGACACTTTCAGCATCTTTGACTCTGAGCCATATCGGAAAATAAGATCTCGGATGAAGTAATAGGTTTCAGATTCTGGCCAAGGAGAGAATGGGAAACGCAGAACATAACCCATGGGATGACTGCATCAGGGACTGTTGTATCCTGCGGCATGCACATTTGCCTTATGAGCATGAAATAAGCATGCAGCAAACACAGTTCTGTTCTTAGCAACAAAGGGAGGCAGAGAGAAAACTGTTCACAGTATCGAAACAGTTTGCAGGTATGGCAGAAAAGGTGCAGCGAGGCTATCACTTCATGCTGAAATGTCCTAACTTCAGAGGTTTTGCTTAAGCAGAAAGACCACAGTACAGTAATGTATGTTTACAATGTACAATATTGACACGTGGAAGGGTTGTAATGGTCAACACAAGACACACACACACATATCGACAATGTTTTTGACTTCTGACTTCACAAATACCTAGATTCTGGCCTAGAATGATAAGGTGTCCATTTCAGGGCATTCCTAAAGGAAGATTCAACATGACGGCTGCCCTGATAAACTATCTGCATGGGTTTGATCAGTCAACCAACTCCTATTATCCACCAAAGCACAACATATGAAAACAGAAGCTATCAGGGCAATATGTTGAATACAAAGGATGTCCCAAAGAAAGCACCGTCCTGATCTATCCCCATAAAAGCATCCATATTCAGCAAGAGTGCAAGGATAAATGATATTGTTAAAGTAGCTGAAGAGTAAACATTAGCTTTTTCCTGTGGAGACGAAAAGGGAACAGAAGACAAATGTTTAACTACACTATATCATATAAACAAAATATTGATGAAGCCATCTCCGGATGACAAAGTTTGAATATATGATGCAAATGCACAGAAATACATTTGAGTTGATCCTTGCATTTTTGCTGAACAGGTTTCGAGGGGGGTTTAGGTTTCCTCTACAGACATCACAATTGAAATATTGTATTATTGGACATGACGCTGGCATGGCACCACCATCTAGTGGCAACCTAATGCTATGACAATTACTACTGTATTGCTTGTGGACTTCATCCAGTGCAACGAGTTGAATACAATCTTGAAAATATTTTTTAAAAACTGAAGAAACGGCCTAACAACTGTCCAGATTTGAAATGCACAACACTGGTGAGGTGACATTTCAATTCTGAGAGGAATTGATGATTTCTGAAACCTCGACAAGAGTAGGGCGAGGACCCAGAGTTTAGAAAGCGGCTGAGATCACAGAGCAGTGGAGGGAGAACAGATTGTTTTGATTGTGTTTTGGCAACCTTGCTCATTAAGATTTGCAGAACTTCCCACAAGGACATTTTCTGCTCTCTGAAAGCACAGCCACACACAAAACCTCCTTTGACAGAAAGCAGATCAATTTAAACCTCAGTGGTTCTTGTAATTTTTTTCTTCCCTTGTGTTAGCTCCTCTACATCTGTGATTACTGTACGACATCTCAGATTTTTATTACGTTCCTTCTGTACTTTGTCGGAGCGTGACTCTATAAGGAGGTTAATCAAGGGTAATGACATAAGACTTGCAGCAGATAGGCTTCCAAATGCTAAATAGTGGTTAGAAGTTGATGATCAAATAGTTAGGAAAAACGGCAGAGCTCATCGGCCACATCCGATTAAGTCACACTTTATTCAATTGTCATTTCCAACTAGTAAAAGCATCAGATGACTGGGCCTATGATGAGGAGGCCTGATGCTGGTTTGAGTTTGATTTCAGCTGTTTTGGTTTTGGTCTGGTCTGAGCACAGTGTAGAAATGAAAGGCAAGGAGAGGGATGCAGAAGCTACACTGGTACATGCAACATCGATACAGTATACTTTTTGCTGAAGAGGAAAAAAAAACACTTGCACTGCACGCAAGTAACAGTACAACCATTTTCTTTTTACTCACAATAAATCACTACCAGTGAGTAGATAAAATAAAGTGGTGTTTTCCAATGGCAGCAGGGAAGGAAATACATCAAAAGTGTGTCACTGGTCATAAAGAAACATGGGAAAAATAACACAAGAGAATAAAACATGATAGAACAGAATACACTGTAAGATAGACTTCCATAGCGGTAATGGAACTGTTGTATTTCTAAATGCAACTCTCCTGTTAGAAACTAATTGGTTAAAACATAATGCCATGTCCATCACCTGGCTCTGAGACATGAATATATTAAGGAAGCAAACAGAAGTAAACAGTTTTAGCTGAATGTAACTGGAGTGTGAAAGACCTGTTGATTCTATTGAGCTTTGAAAGCAAAAGATTGTCTGAATAATTGAAATGACACAGACAAAAGAAGGAAATGGGTATCTATTTTAAAACCAAGCTTTGTCTGTGAAAGGCTGCTTACTTTAATTGTCTGTAACCTTTTCTGGAAATATGGGATATTCACCTGAATTATTTATCCGGTGGCTAACATGTCCTGACAAGTGACTGCCGTACATAGGTCAGGTTATATTCATGTTCTGCGCCTGCCTAATGGTAATGTTATGTCTGCATAAATAAAGGGGGGGGGATATCTATTTGACAGGGACATTTGTGTATTGTGAAGTCTTAAATAAGAGCACGGTGACTAAGCTCAATACTCTGAAAAGCTCTTATTAGGAGGGTGTGAAAATTATAATACAATGGGTAATTTCCTTAAAAAACGTTAAAGGTTGCAGAGAAAAGCTTATTGTCTCATACAAAAAAGCTATGCATGGTATAATGCTCAGTATACAGGCTTATACTGCATAGGTCATTTTATTTTCTCATGCAGGAGATGGATAAGGGTTCTGTAATGTTTTCTTATTTCTTGTTCTTTCTCTGTCAACTAATACCATTTAAATTATATCTACTGTATGTTCCTCATTTTTGTATTCAATTTACTAAAATACATTTTCAGCCATTTCAACCAAACACAAAACACTCAAAGATGACAAGAACTGCATTTCACAAGAAAATAAATCAGATATTAAATGATAATCTTACTGTAATGAGTGTAATGGAAGTTCAAAATAGGACCCATATAAATAAACACTTTCCTAAGGGTATAATGGTTTGACAACATATATAACCTTTAAAAACACAGTGCCACAGTACAGAAGAAACAACAACAAGATGAGAGGTATATTATTAGTGTTCAGACTGGTAAAACCTAAGCATAATGACACAGACAGACCCCACTGGGAGGTTTTGGAGTGAGAGGAAAGGAAAGAGGGCGGTCAAAAGGACAAAATAAAGGTGCAGCTACTCACGTCGTTTGCAGCCACATTTCTTTATCCGCTTAGGGTCTGTGATGTCGTCATGACAAGCTTTGCAGTAGAAAAATGCCCTAAAAGTGACACAGTACAAATGTTCACCACTTAGAATAATCAACATGTCCTTTTTACATAATAAATGATAAGCTTTAATCCAAATTACCTCTTCACTTCTTTGGCATCACTGGCAATAAAGAACCCAAGAGTTCCCTCCTGCATCTTCACATTGTTTCCCGGGTTAATGAGGATGCTGGGTAATCAGAGAAAAAGACACATCATGCTCATTAACTTCTGGAAAACACGCAACTCATGCACACAACATGCTAATCAAGAGGAATGGTACACAGCCTTTGTTGAAGCCGCTAATCGGACCTGCTTTTTCCTTTTTTCATTCTCAACACACGGTTTACTTTTCATAATTTATTTTGTGATACCATTAAAACACATCTCTGATTTTGGGCAATTTCATGATGTGATACTCACATGGATAGACAGAATGTACAACAGTATGATCGCACATTGCATTTTAAGAATTACAATTTTGTCTATGGAGTGGATTTAGTGTCAACACTCATATATACATTACATGTTACTTGTTAGATGTACAGTCATTTAGTGAAAACAAATGTTATGGTGGCCACTGAGACATGGCTGCGTGTTGTTTTCGTGTTAGTAATTGACAGTGGGATGCAAGGGAATGAACAGCTCTTTTTCCTTTCAAAGCTAAGCATATTCTACCCAGTAGCTCTGCTGTAGTCCATATAGGACTGTAAAGGCAGATTAACTCACATTAAAAAATAAGTGAATTTGCTCCATTGTAATGTAGTGGGCAAATAATTACAATGCAATTCAAAAAGGAAGTTAATGACTTCTAATTAAATATGATATGTATCATATTTATATCTTAAGCCCTTATATAATACAACATATATTATGGCATGCCTAACAGCTGGACAAAAAAATAAAATATATAGAAGCACTTTAAACGACTGGCTGTATCATTCCCCATTAATTAGACTGAGACAGAGAGTAGACACCACACACATACTGTATGCTCACACACACACACACACACACACACACACCTTGGTCATTAATGGTTACCTGTGGGCAACAATCATCAATGATGTGAGTGTGAACTAAGAAATCATAACACTGAACCCACAAACCGTTAGGGGACAGAAGTCAAAATACGACAATCCCAGATGAAAGATGATTAACAATTGATTATTTTTATCATCTACTCTTACGGTCTCGTATTTCCAATTTGTGCAAATAACACTTCTTATTGCTCAAAATGTTTGTCAGTGCTGGATTAAAGTGTTTCTTATCAACTTGATTATAACCTTTTTCTCTATTTGCAATAACTATTTTGTTACATTATAGCAAATCATTTTGAATAGGTATGTTATCTGTGTAGTGCATGGAGAAAAAATAAATCTCTTAATACATCTTTCCTTTGAGCTCTAGAAAAAGGCTGCATTGGAGAAAATAAAAAATGTAGGGAGCAATTGAATCCATACGCATATCAGGTTGTGACCAACTCGCATGCAGATCAGATTTTTCCTTCAAATAAGTAAAATTGCATCCAACATTCACTCAGATTGAATGGCCCCCATAGAAGTAAACAGGCATTAGGCCTGGCATGCTTTTTAGTGAAAATAAATGTAAAGAAACAGATCATATAAAGATAGTTCCACAAACATTGCTGCCCCAATCTGAGATTTTACAGGAGTATCTATCCAAGAAATGTTTCTACATTCAGATGCAAACTAGTGAATAAAAGCTTAAAACACATCAAAACCTCATATTGTGAGCAACAAAGCAAGCATCAAACATCTTATGTGTGTGTCATAGCATGCAGTTACCATACAGCATGAAGAAGACAATAATTACAGGTAAAAGGACAGGTACGTAGATGCAGACGGCTGCAGTAACTTCTGTGCAGTTGGATTGTTTCTCAAACACCAAACTGACAGGAAGTGACCTCACTTAAGAACATCTACTCGAGAGACGCACAACTTGACTGTACATAGTGGCTGAGACGCACAGAAATGCACATTCACACACACTCTCCCTCTCGAGGTTAGCACATATAAACCAGACGTACAGACATGCACAGATGGATATACATTTAGCACTGACACATGAGTGGGTGATGGAATGCAAAAGTGAAAATGTAGAGCACTTTTTAAAACGTTAACCTGAAATTATTAAATATCATCTTAGATAAACTCAATGATATCTAAATTGTACAGCTCCATGATCTTCCTGGAGTGTGAAATCATCAAGGCAAGGTGTTGCTGGTGTATTAAAACCATGAAGAAACAGACATGATATATACCAGCCACTGCCTACAGCAATGGCTGATAATTAGCCAATGTTTTAAAGATCAAATCCATAATGTAGAGAACAAGATTATCAGTGATTATCGACACCACGTCTGAGGTCTAACAACCATAAAGTGCTGATTATAGAACACCATGAGTGGAATAAATATATTGGCAAAGCAAACATACAGTAGGGAAAAAACTGAGCAACATTGAAAAAGAACTGAAAGTGAGAGAAATAAACTAGGAAAAGGACAAAACTGAAAAGATTAAATAAGAGGTACATATGGAGAGGGTGAGCGTTTGGCCTTGGTCCAGCGACAACAGCAAAGACAAAGAAACGGCACTTCTACAAACATGTCCAATTTATCTATCCTCTCTCTGCCTGCAAAGAAGTTAGTGCATTATGCACAAAGGACACCATAAAAAAGAGTAAGAAAAGAAGCCTGTGAGATAGTGTTTGGAAAAATATCCTTGGGGAAACTTCCAAAGTCAGAAGCTTTAAAGTGGTGGAGATTGGGTGGAACTTTGGGAAGTAAGATAAGGTAGAGGGCATACCGCTTTCGGCTTCTGCAAACAACAAGAAACATCTCAAATCAAACAGTTATCATGAACATAAAAGAGTAGGATAAATTACTTTCTTTAAAGTTTCTCTTCCTTTTAAGTAGGGACACCTAATATAGCGGCATGGAGCACAACTCTGTACAGATACACAATTTAATTATGTCATGTTCGAAATAGATCAATGATTTTTTTTTACAAGGGCGTGAGTAATACCAAATGGCATCTAACTTTGTGGCTGTACATTTTCTAGAAAATATATGTTGTAGTAAAATAACACATTTTGGTGTCATCAGAAGAAGAAAAAAAGACTATTAAAATAACTTAACTAGCTAAAAATAATTAAGACCGAAGACAAAAAAGCACTCAAATATAATAAGGTTCAAATATGCACACAACTAGAATATCTATTATTTCAAAATGACTAATGTTTGTGTTTAGCTTAGAATGTCAAAATGTCCATGTTTTTGCCATGGGAACCTGTCAATACACAGAAAAAAACATTTGACAAAGGCGAATGGGATAGGGTGGGTGAGATTTGGCAATAGAGATCACTGAACAGTACTTCATGTTGTTGTTGTTGGTGATAACACTGACACTGATGCAGAGTTAGTAGTTATCATACAGACTTAATAGGGACACAGTAGAATCAAGTTTAATCATCAAGGGGAAAACATGACATGATTAGAATGTGCAGCGCAAATGTATCTCTAAATTGACAACACAATGTAATCGAAATGAAACGAAGAAAGGCTGTTGCAGAGCGGTTACTTCTGTAACCAAGTTTACATATCAACCAAGTTTATTTTAGATGTATTCTTCCATACCTGCAAGGTTGGGTAAAGGCATCAGACTTGCGGCACAAAGGTATGTGCCTTGTGCTCGCTGAGTGATTTTAAAATGTTATTTTGTGTTTTTGCGTGTGCTGATGCTCATATTGGCATGCTATCATTCAAATGACATTCACCAACTTCATGTCATCAAATGTAATATGAATATCAACTGTTTTTTTAAGGCAAAAAGAAGATTTGAGGAAAATAACAAGATATTGTATAAGAAAATCCACTTGAAGTGAGTCACACACAAGCTCACTTTTACCACAGTTATAACTGATGTTATTGGAAGAAAGATGCAAGAAACAAACCTGCTCTCTCTCTGCTCCGACTTGTATTCGATGGCAATAAGCAACAGCTTCAGCTTCACGTAACACAGCCTGGAAAACAAGTGCAGTAATTACAGTAGAGGACAGCAGTATACAGGCAAAAGACTGATGTGTTCAAACGCCTTCGAAATTCACATCCTGTCTTTTTTTCTTCACTTTAGAATTATACCTACCACTGACAGTGGGCTTGCTGAGAGAGGAAAGAGTGATACTTACTCACAGATAGTTGGGAAGGTGAGGCCGACAAAGGCACTGGACAAATACTCGGTGTACATCTCATTAGCCACCCCTTCTAGGTAATACTTCTGCCATGTGTCCTCCTCAATCTGACAAAAAAACAAGCATGGAAATGTCACATGTGAAGATACAAAAAAGGAGGAAAAAAAGCAACACAGTTTTCTTCCAATAGCGGCCCAATATGGTCTGCACATGTTCCACCGCACAACATCAGCCTGGTCATTATAAGCTGATCCATCATCTTTATGACAAGAGAACAGTTCTTTGATAGAGACAAGCACCTCTTCAATTTTGAGCCACAGAAACTCTGAACAGATTCCATATGAAATGTCACAGTAAAATATGATGTGCCACAACGACTGAAAACTCTCAAATGGAAGTCTTGTCTCTGGACAAAGATGTCAAAAAATGTCTAGGGAATGATCTGTGTTTGATAGATCTAGTCCATCTGTCAGCAAATAACCTACAGTATCCACTTATAACCTTGCCTTCATTTCCTGAATAAATCATCTAATATACAAAAACCCAATGTCAGAATTCATTCATCCATATTACTTTGGTCTGTTCAGAAGAAGTGACTGAGACAAGGCAAGTTAATCTTGTCCTCTGTGTTACCTCAATGAAGGACCTCATAGAGAAGAGGTTGGCGAGCATGGTGGACAGGCCCTGGGCCAGACAGCTCTGGGCTATGAAGCCTGCCTTCAGCTCCGCCAGGCAGATCGCATCGTCACCCTCTCTCCAGTTCCAGCTCGGAATGTTAAGCAGATGGGCCTGATCACATGACAGACACAGAAAACCAAGTAAATGACTCATATTTTATAAAAAAGAATTGCTCCCTGGCTGAATGTTAGCGTTAAATTAAAAGATCCAGACCACTCTCATGTTGAAATGGCAAATATACTGCTTATAGCCAATAGCCGATTAGCTTAGCTTAGCACAAAGACTGGAATCATGGGGTAACGGCTAATCATCTATAAATATATCTAATAATACAAATTGAATATTCGTCTGAGTACATGTTCACTGTATTTTGTGTTGGCAACATTTCTAAATAAAAACATTTCAAAAACAATTTTCTATCAATGTCTGATGTACTCATGTATATGTTGTTTTAAAAACTAGCAACAAAAAAGTCCATAGAAAATTGTTCGATCTTATATGTCCTAGTGGAGTACAGGGATTAGAGAGCAATTGAGTGAGTGGTCACTTGTATGTCACATGATTTAACCAAATGAATTATCTAAATGTTGAGGATGAGGTGAAGGAACCGAACACATCACAGGGTCACAAAACGTCTTACCTTATTGTGATACTGTAGCATTTGTGTGATTATTCTGATCTTGGGATGGTAGTTCTTGATCGAAATAACCCTGCAAGAAAAACAGACAAAATGTAAAACAATCTTCATATTTTCCACTGATATCCAAGTTCAGAGGAAACAATACCTCATGATGTTGGAGGCATCTTCAGCATCAGGATCTGCACAGTATTTATTGGCTAGGATTAAGCAGGCATCTGCTGACTCGATCTTTGTGTGGAGAACCAAAGAAACAGATGTTAACAGTACAGTCAATACTTAACGTAATATGTTATAGTTTTATTTAGTCATAATACTGATCAAAGGGCCTCATACTAATATTAAATTCTCTTCTGACTCTATTCATTTAAGAAATACACATTTGAAAACCCTGCAATGCCATCATGCACTGATTTCCTTCACTCTCTTTACCCACTGAAACTTTAAAACAAGAACGCAAAATGACTAATGGAATTTGGATCCTAATCATTTAAATGTAGTCTACACTTTAGCTGAACCTCCTTGACAATAATTGTTTGTGATTTCAACTCTCCAAGAGTCCCGTCACCAATTGTACCTTCACTCTGGCGAGGTCGTGAGGGTTGAGAACAGATCCTTGGTAGAATTCTACTTGCGTAAAATGTCGTTTGAATAAGGCTTCCAGCTCAAGATTAGGGGAAATACTAGCACACAGAGAATAGAGAAGAGGGGTTAGTGCACCTTAAATACATACTGTGCATTGTTTCAGACATTGTGTTCCACTGATCTACACAGGGTTAGCAATAAGAAACTTACTTATGGAGAAAAACAATTTCAACATTGACATCATCCCTGTCCTTGTGTAGGAAGTCTTTGAGGAAGTTGGAGACACTTTCGAGGGTAATATGACCACAGACCACAATATGCCTGGAAGGGGGGAAGAAATCATCTTGAGTGGGCAACATAAATCACTGCAGACACTGGCATGACTCCCAAAGATCATCAGTCAAATCAAAGCACTCCAACATCTTACTCAAATATAGACTGAAAAAGTCTATATACATGTCAAGAAATGTCATTTCAAAGCAAACAAGTACTGTAACTGAATTATATATTTTTTGCCATAAAAGTGAATATTTTCCCTCTTGTAAGGCAAGTGGTTATATTCTGCACAACAAGTGCAATCAAACACTCAACTCTGAGCCACTTTAGAAAATCTAAGATATAATCACACAGCCCACAGTGGTTGGCTTCTCATCCGTTCTCAATATAAAAACTGCCCCTTAGGCCAAACCACCGCTTTGTGAGCTGAATGAATGTTGACAAAGACATGTACATCAATATGTTTTTGCTTTTATTCAGAACATTACTTAGAACTTTCAAAGTGATTTGGAGGCCTGTGGATGACACAAATTCTAAACAGGACCACTGGGTTTCTGACGGGTCCCCTGGCAAAACTGTGGCACATTACAGAGGGATCTGTCAGACGGTGCACATGGCTGATTCCAGCAGTAAGGAAGTTACATTAGAAGTATGTTGGAGTTGAGGTTGTGTCCCTTTGTGTCCTCTAACTGCACCGTAGACCAGAGTGATCAACTTTAAAAGGTCAGCTCCACAGTTATATCACAGTATATGAGATTCATTTTGGTCGTTTGAATGGACACCATCTTAGTCTTCACTTTGAATTCCTAACTGTATTAAAGGGGCCCTATTATGGCAAATTTCAGGTTCATATTTCGTGCATCTACTGTGACATGCTTTAATGTTAAAAATGTGCTTTATTTTTCTTTTCTTTTCACCCTCTGTCTGAAAGGAGAACTCAGTTTGCTCTGATTTGTTCGCTGGTCGGCTCAGTAAAAAGCTTAAAGAAGTCCCGCCCCTTATCCTATCACAGACAATGTGTTGGAGTGCTAGAAAAAACGAATACGTTGTAGTATTCCTACATCATGTATTAGTCATTGTTCATGAAGATATTAGTTTTGCTTGATATATTTTTTTCCTTCTTAATCCTCTTAGGGCTTTTGGTAATCTTATTGTAGCACAGTTTTTAAAAGTTATTGGAATTAAAAATGGTTTGAACTCAACCAAGATATTGTTATAATCTAACAGTATTTAATCTTGCTAAGCCAGTGGATTTAAAACACTTTACTGTTTCATTTTCACTGTGGTAAACTGAGCTACCCTTTTGGATTTAATGTTAAATGTCACAAAATCTTATTGGAAAACCTTTAAATGAGAAATCCAAACACGCTCAGTAGAATCAAAGCCTTATATTGACATGGAGTAGTGTGGACACTCGGCAGACACCCTAATTACCCTGTGGAGACCTGTATGGCAATCTGTGTAATGACAATGGCCTTATCCACTACTTAACAGGATGTGCCAGGAGACAAATGAACCACTTTAGTTTTGAGTGCCTGGAGGCCCGGCAGCTTTGCAGTTAACACTAAGAGTATTTGGTTACTCTTTCCTAAAATAAAAATCACTGTGGTCATATTTGTTCAAGTTCGTATGATCAAACTGGATTTGTCTCCTTCAATTCCATTATTATACTCCCTGAGTAGATATATTCTACACAATAAGGAGGCTCTGGCTACCACATTAGCCTTTAAAAGTTGACGTGTAAAGTTGCAGAACATTATTAAATCTGACTTAGTTTGGCAGGTTTAAAGGAAACAGATATTTATGAGATGCCACAGTCCAGATCAGTGTTCCCCTATCCTGTACCAGATGGACCAATAGGGCCTAACTAAAGTGTAATTGGCAAAGTAAAATGGCAGACATATTCAGAGAATGGCAGCTTGTGGATGTTGCAGGACATAATGGTCTTCGCAGATGTCGCCTCTGTCCTTTAAGAGAATCTAATGAGCAGCCGTGATTGCACGCTTGGCCAGAATTGAGCAAAGGCCCGTGTGGTCTCACAAGCTGATGAGCTGAGATGTCTGTTGGCAGCCGACAGTACTTGGCACAAGATGTTTCTCATTTCGGAAAATGAAAAAACCTCAGTCACGTTTTCCTACTCGCATCATCCAGATGCCCTACCACAAGGGTAGTGGGGATACACATAGTTATGTGGCGTATTATTTGGTTTGTGTGGGCTCAGCATTAAGTGATGAACTTCAAACACATACACACTAATACACACTAGTTTTAGTTGGTGGTTTATCAGCAAAGCAAAACTTTCTTCCTCGTGTAATTACCATTGTTTCTTTCTCTGATCCTTTTTTTTCTTTCCATGATCAAGCCACGTATTTGAGGCTCAGTAGTTTAAGACAAAAAATATTCTTGTGATATCATGCATCACTTGAAAGACATAATTTAGGTTGGCCAAGTTTCCTTCTTTCAACTAGCCAATAGTTGCATAAAATAGGACAATGACATCACAGTTTATTAGGATATAAGAAAAGGATATATAATACGATTTAACTATTAATAATTGCTTCATGAACAAACTACTAGGGCTGTATTGGCAAAGCTATAGCTGTCCAATATATATATATATATATAAACACAGGGGATTATGATTCAATATATGCAATATTTTGTGATACTATAAGCACTCATTTCAATTTTGGGACACACCACCATATGCGTAAAATCTGAGAAAAATAAGTTTACTTTTGCGACCTCCTATTAAAGTATATGTACTGTATGTGTGTAACGCAACACAAAATGAACAACTGTCTGCCATACATTTTTGCCAATAATTAATTTCTTTATAAAAATATAATATTGGAATACTAAATTATATCGGTATTTGCTGACACCCCTAAAAAATACCTCCCATCTGGTTCAACTGATTGTATTGGTCTTTTTAAAACTATAGACATACTTTAAATAACAAAACCAAGGAAAACCAAGCACATCAACCCAAAAACTTAACATCAGTTTTACACACAATCACATTAAATGCAAAGGGCTTTTCAGAGCGTGCACATAAAACATGCAGTCGGGTAACATCCCAGGATGTCATTGGGGAAACACTGAATACAGAACGAACAAACAGAGAGCTCAAACATCAGCAACAGAGGTCACTCAAGTGGTACTGCTCTAATCCTTAGGTAAGTGATGAAAGACACTGAAAGAAACATCGTCAAAGTGTTTCAATGTATACAATTATTCCTCTTCAAGAAGTGTGCATGTATATATATAAATGCACTCTGACTTTACAGTGTAATAGTATGCAGATATCAGCCTTAAGCGAGCGTGTGTTCAAGCCCGATAGTGTCAGAGTCTCTAGGCCTGCTGGCCTTAAGTTGCTATCCCTTACAGAGGACATTCAAAAGTAGATGTCAGAGTTCAGCCAGGGTTGAAGCTAGTTTCCATGCCAACCCCTCTATTGAAGTCGATGCTAATGGAAACCATAGAGCCATAATGGAAACCACAGAGTCCCGATTGCAGTGGGCGCCAACAGTATGCAACACTTGTCATTATTGTATCAGCATAAGCAGGCTGAGTGCTGTCACTGGTGTATGCTACACTGCACAGAGTTATATAAGCAACACTACGAGAAACAGACATTTAGCATGGATCCAATGCGAGTCTCTCTCACTTCCAAATACCCTTAAAGGCCTGCTTCAAATGACAGCGGCCAGGCAGTGAGATGAAATAAGGGTTACATTTAAAATAGTTCGCAATGTGTAATGACCTCATTGTTTGTGAGCTCTGTAATCAGTCGGATACTTGTAATCTCCTAATCTCATTTCCATGATAGACTTTTTCTTTGGGCTGACAGCTGCTAAATAACTGAACCCCGATGGCAATCCTAAAGCCACATGACAAAGCAGTTCTGTCTATCTGTCAGGTCCTATCGTGTAAACACCAAAAGCATACATATCTAAATGATTATGCAAAGAGCCTTGTGGCACTCTTAGCCTGTGTGTTTGGTGGGTATCTTCTGATTGTTACCATATGTTTGCACTGTATGTCCAAGCTGAGAGAGAATTTGAAAGGGGTGCGGAAAGAGAAAATAAAGTGTGTGGGAGAAACTATCCTCAGCTTTGACAAGGGCTTCTCTCAACACCCATCTGTGAGTCTGGGCTGAGGTCACTGGCCAAACATAACATTTCATCAATCTTATCTCAATGACAGGCAAACATTAACGAACAAAGGCCTTTTTTTCCAACTGCTGACTTGCTAGAATATGCCCCGCTGAATAGAGTGACTGGAACCAATCAGAGTAAGATTGAAAAAGAGAAACAGTAAGAAAGAAAAGTGCCATAAAAGAAAATGAGATGAGAAGAGAAGAAGGAAAACGAAGAAGTCCACCCTCCCTGTTCTAGACACTTTTGGATTAAATATATCTGTTTGCTGAAATTAGTAAGGTTTGAGCCACAATGGGAGGAGAACAGTACTGGACGATAAGCCCTTTGGTGCAATGACCACAGTGTCAAACATATATCACAGTGCACTCGAACCTCTGCAGTGAGAGGCCAATTAGACATATACATAAATTACAAAAGCTTTTGGAGACAAACTCCACCACCACACAAACACGAGAACCAGGCGAGCACCAATAACCAAGCAGGAAAAGCAAGCCAAAAGCAATTGAGAGCCTCCACTGGGAGCGAGGCTTCCAGCATTCAGGGTGTGGGAGCTGACTGAAGATCAGGGCCAGAGTCATGTCAAGCATTGATGATGCGATGGGATAGCGGTGACAGACAACATGAAGAGGCTTTTTCATGGAGTTTTCAGTAATGAAAAAAGCCACATGACTGCAGGTCGTAGAGAACATGCCAGAAATGATGCAAATAAAGAAAATTATTTGACGGAAAAAATGCAAAAACAAAACTCAAGCAAAATGAAACAAGAGAATAAATAATATCCTGCAATGGCCATTGAGATTGATGATGCTTAAAAAGACCACCAATAATAATGCACTTGCAGATGTTTACATTTTTCTATTTTCTTAAATCTTAAAAAAAATCCTTTGGAAGTGGATAGTAGGGGTTTCATGACTATTTTTTTCCAATTTGATGTATTGTATACTAATTATTCACTATAGGCAAGACTGTTTCATTAATGAACAACACAGAGTGAGCCGATATGCTATATAGAAGAACCACAGGTTAGTATACTCAAGGTCTAAAGTAGTCATGAAAGCTCTATTTTCCAAAATAGAGGATGTGTCAAGGAGGAAAACGAAAGAAAATGAACAGCACACAAATGAATTCAGGAGAGCTCTGAGTAAAGGAGAGATAGAGGAAGAGTTATAGAGCAAGGTAGAGAGAGAAAGAAGGAGACAGAGAGAGATTAAAAGAGACAGAATAAGGGGGCATGGACATGTGAGTCCTAATGGCCAAGGTCTCCAGTCACGCAGTGTGACTTAACGTTTTAAACTAAGTTTACTGTTGTTCAAAAAAAATATAATCCCCTGTAACTATAAACTTTGAGGGGGTGCACTTAAGTCACACAACCACACCTTGTCTGCATTTCAACTTACTTTCTGCCTCGTGTTGAGTTATAACTCCCTCCGTATTTCTTCCGATTAAGGATGAGAGCAGCAATTTCTGGCACGTAGCGAGCAAACATGGCCTACATGCATGGAACAGAAAAAAGAAAAAGGCATGCAGAGAGGGTTCTACCGCACACAGAAAAAACAGCAGAACCATCTGGAATACTTACTTTCTCCCATTAACCGCACTATAGGAACCACCATATTTCTTTCGGTTTCCTATTAACTCTATGATTTCAGGGACGTAGCTGGCAAACATGGCCTAAGGAGAAGATAAAAGAAAGAAGAAGAGACTAAAAAAGAGACTTTTACGCCGCAGGTTGGGTTGTGGGGAAACTGGTGAATTAATCCAGATTTCTGAAGGGGGTTAAATACTGCTTTGCTATTACAATTAAGTTAAAAGCTCTCTTGCTTGTAGAGACTTGCTAAACTTTCCTGTTATTTAAAAAAAATAGCCCCCATTTTAAAGGTAAATGTTTAGTAACAGGCTTGATTAGTTTGAATTTTGTCACAGCTTTTCAATAGTCAGTCTGTGATACCCAATACTTTTCTGAATAGCAGAGTTTTAAAAAGGGAGAATTTAAACCTATGTGCCATGTTTTGTCCAACAAACACAGATTATTTGGCAGGTTGATTTGAATAGGCCCACCTGATGGTCCACAGCTGCAAAACACATTAAGACTCATTTGTTGGGCTGGAAAATGAGCTGGATGCATTTTGCAAAGTTCCACAGCCGGTTATCCTAGCACAGAGTGGTGTTTAAGTTCACCGACTAACAATGGGAGTCCTCACTAGCACTATGCTAAAATCTACAATAAGAATCAAATAGTTGCCCTTTACCTGTAAATACATACTTAACTCATGCTAGGAAACTGAATCTCTACATCAGCCGGAATAAGTAAAATGACGTGAGTTTAATATGATCCCTGGCTTTAAAAGATCTCCAGCCTGAAGTCATTATTTAGCCACTGCTGCTGATAGGGAGCAGGCTGAGGTACTAGCCTAAAGACTTCCAGAGCTCTCAGCACTGAGAAAAACACACAACCTATTACCATGGCCACAGCACGGTACACATCCACACAGCTGCAGGTCATCAGTGCATAGCGACAGCTGTCTAAATGCATAGCACAGTAACTGTGATTTAGTTAGATCCTCCATTTTCTAAGAGAAGGAAGAGGAGGCGGGGTCTACAGTATGCGTGTGTGAGTGCTTACAGGTGTGTACACCCATGAATGCTTATTGTTTTTAAGTCACTGCACTAGTTGTAATCCAATAGGATGCTAGATAAGAGGAAGGTGAGCGAGGGGGGGATTTTAAAGCTGCTGTTGCTATGGTAACAGTCAGGTTGGCCTAAGCCTCATCTCCCTGCCCCTGTGTTTGTTGGAATTTTGGGAAGAGACACAGGAGGAGGGGTGTCCTGATACCGCAACTGCTTTTAAGAGAACAGTAACAACATTATCAGACAAAAACATACACTCTTATCAAACAAATACAGGAGTGACACATAAGGGGAGGGACGTAGGAGCACATAGTACTGTAACTACAGTAGACGAGATACAGTAGGCTATACGAAGGATACAAAATTACATTTAATGGTTCAGGCAACATAGTTCTAACAGTTTTTTAAAACAGCACTGCTAAAATATCATAACATACATCATATCATAAGTAATAAAAAGTATTCCATAGAAATGTTTCATTAATATATAATTTTCATCATTCATCAACAGTTTTTGAACAGTCTAGTGATGGGGACAGGCAGGATTTTGAAGGAGCAAAAGGGGGTAAAGGAGAAAGAAAAGCGTGATTTTACCAAACCACCCAGGATGAAGAAGACCATAAACAGGCGCCCCAAGGTGGTTTTTGCATAGACGTCCCCATAGCCCACTGTAGACATCGTCACCATCAGCAAATAGACACATTCCCAATAGGAAAGTACTTGAGAATTCTGGAAGTTTTCCCAGGGATCCCCTGAGTTTTCAACCTAAAATGTAGACAGGAAAGGGAGGGAATGATGATTAGACATGACTCTAACCACTCATTTGTAAACAGTGTTTTACACAGCAAAACTCTTTAATCAAGTCTGATTAAATCCAGCTCCAAGAGTCACACAGTATATTTGTTATATATTGGGCAAAGACTACCATCTAGTGGTCAAACAGTGTGATGCTTTACTGAGTCGTTGAGCAGAGCTACAAATACACAATGTATACCATAGAATCTTGAAAAAATATGTGACACTACACACAATATGTGTTGCTTTTATGATTATTCTCATGGTATGTTGCCTAAATGTGAAGTTTGACAGTGGATAGTTACAGAAAACAGGGGGAGCGGGGGGACAATCAAAGTCAAACTAAACATTTGGAAATTGCAGTTCCTTGAGTCTTAAATCACCAAGAAAACACATGTAATTATATTCCTAATACTTCTCTTACTATATCTGTGTTATAAAAGTATTGTGGTACCTTCCACTCTTGAATTATTTACGCATGAATTGGTAGTTGTTTACCTTCAGACAGATGGCCATAATTAACCTTCCTTTATTTTGTACTTAATTCTTGGGATGCATCGATCAGCATCAGCATCTATACTTACCTTATCAAGCATAACGGGCTAACCCACAGAAATACACTCCCCTCATCAAAGTCATTATAAAATGTAGTGATTCTACTATGAGTTATTTAGTCATTGCAAACAGTCTATAAAGTCTCAGTGCCAAAGCCATTTCTAGCCATGTGTTACTTTACATAAAAATGAGCAAAGCCAATGATTCTGGTGAGGTGAACATATTTTTAATTTATTTGTGAAAACAGAACACTGGCATTGGATCATTCCTAGCTATTGGCAGAAAACGTTAACTATTTTCTTGGAAGGGATATTGAGGGACAAAATGTGAATATCCCTAATAGCAAGATGTGAAAAAAGTAATCACAATATAATTTATTTAAATTCAGTTTGAAATTGGCCAATTCTTAAACACGATATACTATAATATTTTGAAAAGGTCTCTATGTCATATAGTTGTTTAGCAAATGTTTAGTTACCTCCCTTACTGGCTCCCTAATAACTAAACCTCACATCCATCCCCTTACCAAATGTATGAATCCTGCCGCTGTGAGCCATGTGCTGATGAAGATGGAACACAGGTTTACCAGCTTGATGGAATTGCTGGGTAGAAGAGGAAGAAACACAAAACTCTCAAAAACGTCAGATCATAAGGACAGAAAAACAGAGATTCATGAGCTAAGCTGTTGTGACTAAAAATAACCTACAGCCAGGACAGTTGAGATATTTGATCAAATTGATGAAGGATTAATGCTAACATAAGCTCAATGAATTATAGAATGGGACAAAATGCTTAATACGGTATATTTCATACAGTGTGACAAAGTATCACAATACATGTATTTATTATTAACCTTAACAAATAATTATGATACCGCATGAAATATGCATGAGACATGTAGTTTAATACACATTTAAGTTCTGACTCAGACATACTGTATTCTGAAAATGCCACATTATAAACAGTATTTAACATTTCCGGGACTCACTGTTACAAACATAATGTAGCTTCTGCTTCACAGTAAGGATACTAGGTGAATATGTTTCTTGTGAATGAATAAGGAAAGGTTTATTATTACCTTGTTTTCAAGATGTTCAAAAACTGAAGTATTTCCGAAAACTGTATCAATCGTAGTGCTCTTAGAAATCTTAAGCCTGTAAGAAAGAGAGAACGACATAGACACAAAGAGAGGAAGATTAGCACATTTAATGGATGCAGTACAACTAATGATATTCTCACATTAGATTAATATTCATGTATCCATGAGTTGGGTGTTTTGTAAAATAGTTTTACATACAGATAGTATGCCTTAAATGTTTTTCTACACCACTTGCAACATGTATTCAGTGAGACACAAGGAGATGACACAAAAAAGTAGAAACTTTATTCTAGATGATGTGTTGGAATTATTAATGCACATAAACAAGTTAGGAGGAACATCTTGTGGCCTAGTTTATATGAGCCTCCGTCACATTCAAAAGCAGCTCGCTTAGGGATTATAGAACAATGCGACACCTGCCTCATTGTCTTTTTACATAACACGAATGATGCCATGTAACGTGCGTGTCGCATCTGTATCTAGTTCATGTGAAAAAAGGTGATCTATATTCCTCTACAATCAGTATACAACCTGCAAATATAAATATAAAACAGTGGCCATACACCATATGCCAAATATCTTTCAAAGACCATCCAGCTCCAAACAAGAAACAACTACATCATCTGGATAAATAACTTATAGATACATTTTATGGACATACACACTGACACTTAAACCCTTACCCCAGTATGAGATGACGCGCATATAAGTCTGCACTGAATGATAGAATCCTGTCTGCCTTTCCTCCTGTTGACGATGACCCTGCCTCACCCTGTACCCCTTCTGAAAAAGCTCGCCACCGGACTTCTTTCGCCTTCGAGTCTCTTTTATAGCCCTCAAATCAGAATCACTGACGGTACGACGGAAGAGCAGCTTTGAAGAAATCATGTTTACACGTTATCCCGCCAAAGGAAGTCCTTTTTCGTCTTGCCAAAACGGGTGTTAAAAATCCCCAAATATATTCTTTGCGTTCCAAAGCACCTTCAGAAAACAAAATCCAACGATCCTTTCCCAGATTTAGCTTATTCCTAAAAAAACTAATATTTCCCGATTCAGCATCCCCAATATTAGACGACAGTTAAAAAGAGAACTTAAAAATAATGTGAAATCGATGGTCACTGCTGCAAACAAACAATCGAAAACCGACAGCTAGAATTGAATTGCTTGTTCAATCATATCAGCTTTGCCAGGGACTGTGCCTCCGGGAGCAAAATCTCAGTCCTAATACTGTAGGTTATTTTTTTTCCCTTTTTTGTTAAAGTGCCTTTAATCCCCACAGCCCAAACAGATGTAACCTTCTAATGCCCATTTTTGGTATTTACCTTACCACTGTAAGGCTTTGTCTCCATCAACAGACAGCTGTGTCAAACCTATTTTCTAAATTTAAACCCTTCCAGGGATTATCAGAGATAAAAGGTAATACTAAAGTGATAAAGAACAAATAATCCTGGCTTAAATCTGACTGACCTGTCCCCAAAGGTACAAGGGCAAACAACTCTACAACAATTTGTTGATACTAAAATGTAATGGACAGTTCAAGGCGGGGTCATTTCAGACAATTCAACAACAACACACCTACTTCATGGTCATACAAGGACACACAACATCTCTATACAACTAATTGTGTTTAATTTGAATGCCTTTGACGAGAGACTGTCCAAAAGCATAATCCACATTTGTAAGGCTTGCCCTTTCTATTACTACAGTATTTTTTTTCCCCCCACTCTTCAAGTTTGGCCATTTGGAACACATCTAAACCCTTTAATCTTCCGACAAAACAACATGCTCTTTTGTTTGTATAAAGCATTCCCTGCCCTTAAGGTAAAACCTGCTTCTTCCACAACATCAGTAAAATGACAACAATAATGACAGTAAACTCTGTGTGTGTGTGTGTGTGTGTGTGTGTGTGTGTGTGTGTGTGTGTGTGTGTGTGTGTGTACAGTATGTCAATGTCCTCATAACTAATGTATTGCACATCTGTGTATGTGTGTGCGTGCATGTGTTAAAAACTCAATTCTGCTCCCTTTAACCCGTGTGCATGTATGAGAAAATCCCTTTGCAACACATGCAAAAGTCCCTTGCACACACACAAGTGTCAGCTGGCCAGATGCTCATTCAAAAAGGTTGTTCAGCTCTGTGCCCACTCTTAGTTCATTGAGGCTTTGAGAGAACGGCCTGTCTGTCAAATGTCCTGACAGAGCAGCCTACTGGGACCGTTTATCAATCAGCACTCTCGGACGGTTGATCTGGATAATACTGACAGTCAACCCTGCCAGGATTAGATCATATAATGCTACACATGGCGCACACACAAGCATAATGCACACTGGGAGCTAGTTTAGCACTGTTTATTGCAGTGCAATTGTACTATTGTGTAAGCAGCCTTGCTACAGAAAACATAAATTAGCTTCCCTCCTCTGAATGTACATGGAGGCTTCCTGCCAGTGACTAAAAGGCCATATGAGGCAGATGCACTCATGCCCATGTCAGGTGCTGGAAGCCTCTTTCAGCATAAAAACACAAGGATCAACCAACAGTATACTAAAGCACCACCAGGAGGCAGTAGCAGGTTACATTTAAAGCCATGCCTGAAGCTTCTACAGTTCTGTACATCCTCAGAGCCAGAGCTCAACAACACTGAGGTTACTCCCATAAAAACTGAAACTAATACACAACACATTCGATAACGTGTTAATTTGGTTTGTAAATGCATTATTTAAAGAGCTACTGATGCCATGTATTGCCAAATCGTTCTATTGGGGGAATAATCCAAACAGACATTACTGTTCCCTTGTTTTAATAACTTTGGAGTAAAGCCTGAATTTAACTAGCGAGATGAAAGAGTTGGGGCTCAGTAGCCAATTGAGCTACTTGCATAAAGCGCCATATGCTAATCCTAAACTAGCAGGACTCTCTTGAGAGCAATGCTCAGTTTAAGTATTTAAAGGAAATTAATTAATTTTGCAAGGAAGAACTCTCCATGCCCTCTTACATTAGCCGCGGATCGTTCCCCTCCTCTTAATCAATGTCCAATTTGCAGAGGCAGAGAGAACATAACTTGAAATGCATAGAGCAGATACTTCTTCCTGTGCAGAGTGGGCAGGAACACTATCACACAGAACAGGGCAGAACCCCTATTAGCGCTCTCTTTTTATTATGCACCTCCACTGGATCTCTAGCAGTGTTCTCATGCAGAACTGTAGCTGAAAGAGTGAAGCGAAAGGTACTGTAATTATGATGCATTACTCTGGCTTAGGTGTGTATTCGCCAGCAGTGAATGGAAAGAAAAGATCAACTAATCCTTTGGGACTAAGGAGCACAACACAAGTTCCTAATAACCACCCTGGGCTAGTTTAACAAAGCCTATTAAGGGACACAATATACACTTAATGATAGTATCGCCAACTATGGATTATTGTATTGATTTTAAGGAAAACCATTATGACCCTGTCAAGCATTAAGACGTATGTAGAGGGCGATAGTCTTCAGGGAAGTAGCAATTACATTTATTTAACCATGAATATCAAAGGTTACCATATGAAAGCAGATCAGGCATCGGTTGTGTTGATATTATAACAGTGTACCGTGTATGTCCTAATTTCCATATTAATACAGGATAGAAGCAGCTAACCATGATTCCTGTCCTGACTCCTTAGAGCCTGAATATTACCAGACACTTTCAGCAGCCTATTAGTATTCTGGAAGCTATCACCAGCGTGTTAGGTGCACCCCATATCACTGCAGAACTACCCACTCTTCATTTTTATAACTTAGGCTTTGCAACTCTGTCTGAAGCATTTAACATGGACAAGCACACCACCAGGAAACATACACCTAAGCCATGCCACAGGGAGTTCTGTTACCATGACACACTGTGGTTATATGTACCCAACACTGCAAAAATAAACATGCTCTAAGGTTTGAAGGACATGCCACATGATATATTGTCATAGCTAAATAAATATTCGTCCAGATCATTCCCTTTTTGAAATAATAGTACTAAAAATAAAATGTATATTAATAGCTCTGGAATCTAGGGCATCTCTCAAAAACAATATATACATTATAACTCACACTGCACACGCACTGTATATAAAAGGCCTCTTAGCCTATATGAACCCCAGGGTGCAGGATATTTAATAATCATAGGTAATTATTCAATGCAGAATGTGGGGCAGCAGCCAGACCATCATTTCAATCAACACCCCAACACCAACGGCTTTCTGGAGATGAGCCGAGGACACCTTACATCATGAATACCAGAAACCAGATTACTTGACTTGGCCATATTTTATTCAGTACACAGCTTGTTCTCTGTGAAATGCATGGGCCACAGGGAGCCTCTTAAGAAACCTTCATCATCTCAAAGATTAGATTTAAAAGACTAAAATAACAGCATACACATTAGGATGAAAGGTAGACTGCATATTCCTGATAGCATAGTCTTCTATATCATGGATACTATAAATAATTAAAGTTGACTTGGGTGTTATTTTAATAGTTTCTGTCAGATTTAATAATATTTTGTTTATAACCAAACTTGGATGTTGACTGCTCCCAATATAAATAATCTGCTGAAAATTCCCAGAATTGATTGATTTGTAATTTGCTCAAAGTAATGCATTCAAAATACTGTAACCCAAAACCTAATTAACCAAAGATGATTCAATAAAACACTGATCTTACATCTGAGAAGTTGAAATCAGTGGACATTTGACTATTTGCTTGAAATAATCTAAAACAATGAATTGATTAATAAAATAGTTACCTTATTTACTCCCTCACAGCTCTTATTTATATCAGATTGTTCATTTAAATCTCACTATATAGTAAAACTAAAATAAACAAAGCTAATAGGATTGGTAATAATTCTTCTGTTCAATTAAAACATGTGTGCGCATAACCATGGTAAGCATGGTTGTTAAACCAGGAAATATGTAGACACTGGTTTAAACCTGTATGATCTAATAATCGCTCATGGTTCTTGAAAAAGTTAGACTTCTTTTCAAGGCTATATAGTTCTTCTATCCAAGACATTTGAATTATTGCTAGTTATCAGTGTAGGCCTTTTTTACAGTAGATATTTTTGAAATGTCATAGCAAGAAAAGCTCAGGTGTTACTTATAACATGAGCGATGCCTCGGTGTTATTTAAGGGTGTATCAAGTATTTACAACACCAGGACCCTGTGATGTGTTACAGAAGGGAAAAAAAGTTTGGGCAAAAACATAAATACAAATAAACAGAAATGCCTCTATATATAAAATATGTCTTTCTGAGGTTAATTTGTATATCACTTTTTAGCTGTATTGGTCTGTCTTTCAGCAAATATTTTTTTGCACTGAGAACCTTAAATAATTTCACTGTAATTGAATACAGTTGCCTCTCATTCTGAACTAACAGTGTTACGCTCAGATAAACATTGGATTAGCATTCACCTAAGTTATAAATAAAGTAAAGCAACCATGTATAAAAATGACATGGTTTCAAAAGAAGAGTGCCAGAGAACCTGAAGAAGAATACAGCTAAAAAGAAACTCTTTTCACTGCAGTGTAATTTAGGCCACAACACTCTGAACGCACTGAGAAAAGTAGGTCGTTATGTAATGCAGGTTAGGGTGTTTTCCAGCCTGCTCATGCAAGAGTGTGTGCATGTGTGTGTACGGGAATAACACAAACTTTTGTGTTGGCATCTTTTTTGGGTGATTGTGAATTAACCCATTAGATGGCAGTTACGGACTGCAGTGAGGAATTTCAGGTGCACCGCCTCAACACTGCAATTACGAATGAGTCGAATGCGCGCACACACACACACACACACACAAAACCACAGTGTGTTTGTGAGTCACTCTCACTCCCATTGGCCAATCCACTCTGCTGTGTCTGTGTTTCCTGAAACATCAGAGGAACCCAGCCCTGTCACTTTCAATGATCAGGAAAAGTTGACTGCAGCCCTGAGCGAGAGAGCCTCAGAGACACACTCCCAGTAATGGGGAGACAGAAGGAGGACTAGGAGGCAGAGGGAGAGACACAGAGTGATAAAAGGAGGGGTGACATGTGAAGATAGAGGGCAAAATAATAAATGGGGAGTGTTTGGACGGCGGCGTTGAGAAAGACATTTGAAAATGGTGAAAGAAATCAAGAAACGCAAGGGTATACATCACATACAAGAAAAAGTGGATTAATAACACATAGGAACAGCGGAAAATATATACAGACTTACCGAGCCAGCTTCTGTTCAAGTAGACAGAAACAAACACGGGAGGAACAGTAAAGAAGTCTACCACTGAGTTGACCTCCAGCCAGAACCATAGTTTATCATTGGCCGCTATAAACTGTGAAAAGAAAGAGAGATGGCAAAGAAAATGACAAATGAATTCTAATGTTATACAAAACAGCAACTCTCCTCCACAGCCCACCATAAAACTGCATGCTGACATATTGTATAGAATGACAAAAGCTTCACCCCACTTGCTGAGTCATGCAAATGGTTGGTGGGGTAAGCTGCTTATGAGTTTATTTATTCATTCATTCAGGATGGCAGGCTTGCGTTGCACAATTGGAATGCTGCTCTGGCATGACAAACATGCCATAGCAACATTATGACAACAGAGTTTAAAATAAAGGCATCCTGTGTGCGTATTTAGAAAGTTGGGTCTGCTTGTTTGAAAGCATTGTTGGTTGTCTCCGGAAAGATGTTGTGTTTATATTTATTATCTTTTACAAAAATATATATAGAAAAGATAAATATGAATACATTAAATATACTGTGATTGGAGTGGAAATATTAAATATATTTGTGTAAGATTCTGTTTATTCTGCTGCATGTAAAACAATGCCTGCCTGCATGGCTGTGCTTATTGTTTGTGCCAGCTTGTTAAACAGTATGCCTGTTAATGTGTACTGTGCATGCACAACTTACGCGCAGTCCAAAGTAAAGTAGGAAGAAGACATTGAAGGCCATATCGATCTGTAACGTGAAATCTTTCCAGAAATTCTGGCAGGATTCTATCGGACTAGAAAACAAAGAGAAAGAGACAGAGGATGAGAGGAGGAAAAACACACATTATTACAAGGTTATGGATTCATGAACTGACACTGTAAACAAATGTTTTTCTTCAGATTCTGTTACTTTATTCGTTATTTACAATGAGCTTTGCATAGCAGTATGACTAGGTAACATGGTGGATTCAATATCACATCATTACAATTATAGTGTACTATATATATATTATATGCTAAATGAATATTCTACTGTATTCCACATTTTGTTCATTTTTAATCAGTTACTTTGGAATGATCAATTTAGCCAACATAAGTTGTTGCAACAATAAGATATTATCACAATACAATCCCACCAAGAGGCGATGTCCTTGCTCCAACATTTCAGGATAATAATGGATTTATTTCCTCCTTTATTTTTAAGAGGTGCATATACTGTATGTCCTGATCTCTCTTTGCTCACCTTTCCTCAGTTCAGCTCACAGGACTGATAAGAAAGCGCTCTCTGGTAACAAAAGCCTGTCTGAAGCTGTCAAGGTCAAATGGTGCTGACCAATGCTTGCCATTTAAACTGACTCTACCCAATCTTTTTCCCGTAGTGTATATATTTTCACATTAACTGTAAAACCTCTGGCTGTTAATGTAAAAAGAATAGATACAAATATGTGATATAAAACCCCATAGTGAGGTTCCATAGTGTTATTACGTCCCGCAATTCCTCCTAGGGGGTCATGTACAAAGAAAAATGTATATGTAGATTCAACCACATACAGTACAGTATAGATACAACTCAAATAGGTAGGTGCTTTGATGTGACAGTACAATCCAGATGCATAAATAAATCAGCATCTGTAAAAAAAAAATATATTCCAGCAGATATTCTCTTTGATGACAGAGACTTGCACAAATAAAATATGCTGCATAGCTCTCTCTATTTAATGGTGTGCAATAGCATGCTTGGTGTTGCTTAAAAAGGCAGAAGATGATATACGAGTCGTAATCTTTCTGGCATGTCACGTAATCCACCTTCATGTTTATGTTCATGCTTCTTGTGGTGATTAACCATTAGCTAGTGGGTGCTCTCTACAAAAGCAATAATAGGCTGTGTGCCCAGGCTATTTTTCACTTGTTCATGGCTATAGCATTTTGCTCCTGCGTAATGAGGAAATCCCACAGCGGAAAATATGAATATGCATCATGATACGGCTGGCTATAGGCGACCTTTGGGAATGTATAGACTGGCAAGGGAACACACACATGGCCTTTACGTGAGTACACAGTTACAAGTCCCATATGTTCACATTCAAACATTAAAGTATACGTTTGTATGCATGGAGCCCACAGGGGCACAGGATGAGATTGAGAGCAGAGCTTACTAAAAAAATGCGAACCTCCAGAGAAGAGTGAAGCTTAATCATCTTCCAGTTAACATCAAACATTTTATCTCACGATGATGCATTATAATGGATGACTGAGTACAGACATGCCAGAAAGGACGTATTGCTCCAAGAGGATGATCCAACTTCTAATTCATGAGTGTGTGTGGTCTGTCTGGAACATATCCTAAGGACTGATGTGATCTTTACGATGATGTAAAGCTCGGGCTCATGGCCAAGATGATTAGAAAGAGTCTGATTTATGCAGCAATTGTTTAAAACTAAAGTGACTTGTTTTGGTTAAAAGGCATTTTCTCATATAATGCTATCAGAATATGGACGGAGGTTTATTCGTTGTTGACCGCTTGGAGGAGTTAACATTGATCTGGCCTAAATAATCAATTAACAAAACCCCACCGGCATCTCCATGTGTGTCTTTTTTAGGCAACAATCATGATAGCTAAAACAATCCTGTCATGAATCACACTTACAACCTAAACAGACACAATATTCCTCATGTCCATCTACGCACTACCCAATGAAGCTCATGTAACCTCACTCGCGAAAATGGATCTGAAACCACAACCTAAGATAACCTTAGAGACCTTTGTGCAAGAGAGTGCCCACACATACATGCTAATAATACACTTACAAGCACTTTAGTGCACATACACACTCACAGATGGTGCACGCTGAAGACACCATTTGGAGTGGTCACTGGCGTTTCCCTTCGGGCCCAGCTCTGGCCTAATTCTGTATAACGGCTCATCTACAGTCACATGACCCAAAGCATTCTCCGTAACACGGAGAGAGCATGGCGGCACACAGAACGGCTGAGTGGTGCATTGAATTTGTCTCGATTTGAGCATTGTAAGGCAGAACAAAGGCTACACTCTAAGAGCTTTAATTTAGTCATTTTTACATTCATTATTCGAAAGTAAAACTATCATTAACTGAAGTAGTGGGAAGATGCATCAGGCAGACCTATGGTTTTTCTCTTAGGCTTGGAGGCACAATAGGAAATTAAGAGTGCATCAGTGCAGGCTGGGAGAGGTTCTGTAATTGTGGAGCTGCTGAATGTGTTTCGAATAACAGCACATAAATAAACTTCCCAAATGGCAATGCAGACTGAAAAGCACAACAAATTAATTCAGTAGTTACTATACAGTATATGGCAAGTCATAATGTTTAACTGTATCATCTGTCAGGATGAACACTTCTTAAACACAAATCTGCATACAGGGTAGATGGAGCAAGAGAAAAGCAAATAGAGATAATTAGATGTGTTGTTTGAGCAGAGATGTGACTCATCAACTAACACACACAGCTTAATAGTGAGCCATCCTTTTTCTGCTAACATTAAAGCAATATTTCCAAAGAATTTGTTTAATTTCATCTCATTTGAATGGATAAATAGTTGTAAATAACGTGTAACAAGGTGTTTCTTGGGAATTATTCCTCTTGTTTCTCATCTCTAACAAGCATTTTAAAATCTCAGATGATTGTTTAGATTACTGTTTTAGTTCAGTCTCATTGTTCTCATTAACTCACTGGTATATGCGGTTGAGCATTTAGCAGCTAAATACTCTGACATTTCCATAAGGAGGTGGGGAACAAATCAGAACAAAACAATAAAACTGTTAAAGTTGATAATACTGTATGTATATGTGTTTTACAGCTGGATCTGCTGCCCCTAACTGCACGTTTAAATCTTACAATAGCAGGGACAAAATTAGGATTTTGGTGCATATATAACATGCAATACATCAAAATCAACTATGGCCCGACAAATTCAGTCCAGCGTCCCTGGGAATTGGGTTAATCTTGGATGGTACTGCGCCACGTGTCCGGGGACAACACTCAGTGTCGGTGCAGGAGGGACACTCCACATTCACAAGGGATTCCTGGCCTCATGCTGCCAGTGTCCTGCAAAAAATAGATCAGCCCACCAATGTTCTTGTTATCCTATCACAGAGGTTGGTAACAACATCCCACCTGACAGGAAGGCGAGAGAGGAAAGAGAGAGAAAGAGATGGATGAAAGAGAAAGGAAGACAGCAGCAAGACACAGAGAGATAACAGAGACACTGAGTGAAGAGAGGCCGTGACAGAGAGAGGGTGAGGAAGAGCAGAGAATGTGAAAGTAAAAAGGGAGGGGGATTGAGCTCCCAGAGGAGACAGTTTTTCTCACATATATAGCACATAATGCTTGTTTTAGGCCACATTGGAATTGCCTGGAGATTCCAGAGCTCCATAATAAACTCTGGTCTCTTTATATTTGACTTTGTGAACACCTGCACCAAATAAGTTATTCTCTAACCCCATTCTGCTCATAAGAAAAAGCTAGAAGTAGCAGACATACAGGTACATATGGCCCAGTATGTGATCCAAGAACACCATTTTCTCACAATAAAGTATTATTCTATTGTATAGTATTTCATGACATGAATCTCATCTGATGGGTAACTCTGCTTTGGAAAAACCCAAATCAGAGATGTAAAACTCATTTGGTTGTTGCTGATGATGTTCTTAAAATAGTCTTAAACACCTTCAGTCCGTCAGCAGGAGCGAGCCCTTTGTTAGCCCACCCATGACCTTGGCTGGCTGCAGGAGCAACAGCAAGGTTGCCCCCTGAGAAAACAATAACTATACACTTTGCTCCCGGCTTGAATAATGCTCACAACAGTTCAGAGCACCAAATCTGAGTCATTCTTCACATCTCATAAATGCATTCTGCTCTAGTAGGCTCATAAGCATCTTGGAACGTAGTTAGATTCATAGTCTTATTTGTTAGTGTTCACCGCATACAATAGAACCCAAACAAAAGAATTAATGCATTTAGAGAGTGATTGAGCACAATAACTGAAGTGTCTGTGAAGCTGAAAGAAGGGCAGGTTGGAACTTAAATGATTGATTTAGGCCAAGGCACCATTACTAAAATAAGAAATACTTCAACACCTACAAGGGTAATGGGAAAATAAAACTTCCCCAGGGAGGCTAAAAATAGCTCACTCAATTGTTTCATCTGAATATAAATGACTTTCATCCTGCTTCAAGCATTTCCTCTACAAAGAGGTTATTTATTTTAGAGTCAAAAGGAGTAGTAGCAACACTACATGACATTTGAAATGAGACAGCATTTTTTTTGCAAGAAAGAAATTAAACTCACAGAAGCTTATGCTTAACTTATTACATATATTGAAGCTTACATAATTAATATTAATTAAACACGTAGCTAAACATTTGAACCAAAAAGGCAATTAAATAATCTCAATTTCTTTAATTAATCTTACTGGATTTCTGAGTAACTCATGCTGTGTTCCTGCTGTGGCCTGAAATCAAATCCTTCCACTCTGCATTGAGGGATATCAGGCAACTGCAAATGGCCCCTAATATTGCCATGGTGATGTTAATAAACAAAGAGATTGGACCATTCAGCGTTAACCAACACCAGAAACAAATATCAGATTGCAGAGCAACTTGGCTAATTGGGTATGTGTTTTAAATTAGACTTCAATCAGTGTTTCACACCCTGAATCTGCATTTACTTCATGTTCTGATCCCCACATGTGAGCTGCAGGACTCCAAATCGCTTCGCTTATGCTCAGATATCAAAAGCAATTAAAACGTTTTTATTTTTTCAGTCGCATTGTGTTTCATAACGCTCTCAAAAGCTCATTATCTATGACTGTGATGTTGACATTGATTACTCATTACCAAAATGTCCCTAAAAGTGTAAGAAATCTGAAGACAGTAGGTTTTTCTAAATAAAAACAATTTTAAAATCAGTTACTTTCTGCCACCAATGGTGTATTTATATCTGAAGCCACTTTGGAACAACTTAAGACTTTTCATGGGTACATGGGCCTCTCTGACCCATGTGGAGACCCCCTCCCTTCGGATCAAGGAGAGGTCCTTATATAGGTCACCCTTCATCACCACATAGTCTGCCAAGCTTGTCTCAGTGCTAAGCCATATTTCTCACCTTACCCAATTAATTAGTCATTAGGCACTGTTTCTTTTTTCAGAGCTGTCATTGATCGCTCACTAATGATAGAGTTACAGGCCGAGGCTTAAGAGGCCTCTCAGACAAAGTTTGTGTGTGTCTATACGCGAGTGCATATCTGCAAGTTAACGTGACTATGCAATTGGTGCCTGTAATAGATCGTGTGACAGGGAGGGGTCGAGAGAGGAGAGACATAGAAACAGAATTGGAGCAGGAACAAGGGCATCCCTTAAAGAACAGCCTGCAGAGACTTTGTCCTACATTCCTCTATATGTTTTGCATAGGAGCACAGAGGAGGAAAAAGAAAGGATGAAGGATGAGCCAAGGTATTAAAGCAGATTCAGATGTGGGCGGGAGAGGACGCAGTATCCTCCCATTGAACATTTCACAAAAATAGCATCTGTTTGGCAAGTGAAGTCTACTGCAGAGGAACAGCAAAGGCAGAGGCTTATCATACATTATTTGATGCGCAGGACTGTGGTAAACAACTACTTTCTCAAAACAAACAGATGGACGGTCATTCTCAGCAAAGCCACATACTAAATCCAATTCATTCCAAAAACAGGCCTCTTGACGACATCACCGTTGCCAAGTCAATGACTACATATCTTTGTGCTCAACTAGGGAAGCAAATGATCAGTTTTCTCTTTTAAAACTCTTTCTACCTGCTTCCACAAAAGGCTCTGCAGTGTCTTTCTGTGGGTCTTTGCTGCAGGATACTGGCCAACAGAGTGCCTGCTAGGAAAGCCCTACATAACTGCAGCTGTAGGAATGAAACAGTTCCTGGGAGACTGGCGACTAGATAGGTACGCTGTTCTTCAGGATTTTGTGTGTGCATGTTTTTGTGTCCTTGCCCCAGGGGCCTACCCTGCTTCACTGAAGAAGACATAAAAGCACATCGTGCAGCTCCAGCCTCCCCGGGTCCAACCCACATGCACTTAGTCCACCGCATGACTCTTTTATCTGTCACGACAGAGTCTCCACCAGAATCCTTCCCATTAATGTTGCCTTTTTTAACAGACAATTTCTGAAAGACGTTCTCTTCATCCAATGGCCAAAAATGTCAATTCGACCATAAACCATTGAGCCTGAATAGTTAATGAGTCTGTACCACAAGACTGTAAATATTTGGTAGGGTAATTATTACCATTAAAATTATATAAATCTGCGCTCGTCGATTTTTTTCAGTCATTAACATTTAGATCTGTACAACTGTAGATCATTTTTAGTACCTGTGAATGGGGGGTATGAATATAAATCGAGATGTATGCAGCCCCTTTTACACACAAGGTGATAGTCAGAGAAAGAGCGTTTGTCAAGATGTGTGTCCTTGTGCAAAATGTTTTTAAAGAAAATTGACCTAAAAAAATTTAACTTTTGAAACATATTTAAGATCTAACCCTTTGCTTTACTGGACCCTTGTTGTTACACTAAATCAGTGTTTACTTTTGACAGCTGGTGTGGACGAAACATGATAATTGAAAACCATTTGATGGCCCATATGAAACATCTTGACTTTTTTTGCAACATCAGACATTTTTTCGCATTACATTTTACAGTACGTAAAACACATTGTGGCAGACATAAATACAGGTATTTCTCAGGCGACAGATATAGTGTCATGTCGGCTCTATGACATGTAACAATGGGTGTAGAGCACATAAGAGGTTACAGCTGTTGTAGTAAATGTATAACACTAGCCTGGCCCTGTTAAGGATGCTGAAGCCCCCTGATTTGTGTCAACCTTCTCTGGGTTGATCAGCAGCCCCCCTGAGAGGATGGCACACTCAAGTGACAAGCTTGAGCTAATCACGATGATGAGTAGAGAAGGCCTCGGCTTAATGGGAGCACGGGGAGATCAGGGCAATGCCTTAGGGAAGCCGATTTTCATAGGAATACACGTAAAAAGCATAACATACCGGATGAAAGGAGGATATACAGTGGGAGAAACTAAAGCTCTGCAGTCAGTGCTTTCATTCTTCTCCTTTTGTGCCCTGCAGGTTTGATGTTATGGCATGATCTCTGAAACCTTGTGCTTTCTACCTTCCTAACCACGGTGTGTGTTTCTAGTTGATTGATGTTTTCATGTCTGTCAATGAAAGCATGCTCAAGAGTCATGTTAGCCTGGAGATAATGCCAAAGTAATACTAGACCTCATCTCAGGGGATCTGTTACGGATGCATTTTAACCTTCACATAGGGGAAGAGATCAATGCAGTGCAGAATTTAAAATATTTATATCCAATCTAGGTCCAATGTTTCAATGCCTTTCAGTCAGGTAACTTGAGTGATTTGTTGTATAAGTCACTAACCAGAACATTACACATGTGAAAGCATGCTGCAAGCTCATTTCTTTTGATGACATATTGGAGGTTTAATTTCACCCTGACTGAATAAATGCATGTTGCCTGAACCCCATCCATTCTCTGTGGCTGCTTTTTGTGTATGTTAAAGATTTACTGACCATATATCGCTTAATGTGCATGCTTAGTCATAATCTGGTTATTATAGGAGCTTATAAATGTGTCTTCTGATCTACTTTTTTTGCAAAAAATAGGTAGAGAGGGGGAAGAGAGGGGGGAAAAAAGGGGGAAAGATAGACGGATATGAAAATATAAATAAATATGTAGAGGTAAGTAAATATTTTTCTCCTGAGGTATAAATGGGAAACCAGATTCATGCCAGGAATAATTTCCGACTGCTGCCAAGATAAGACTGTATAAAATGGATTGCATTTTGGATTTACCTATTTTGAGAATTTTATAACCCTCTCTTAGACTCTGCATTAGCTCTGGGACATAATTTCAAGGTTCAAAGATAGCTTTTACTCAAAGATAACATCCTGCACGACAGTTAACAGAGAATGAATATTAGAAAAAGAATGATACAGTAACATGGTCAATATGTTCTGGTCCCTTTCTAGTCAACCATCCACAACCTCAGGGGCCACAGACCACTTTAAGTTTTATTTTAGTTAAGTTTTGCATGAAATATTGATTAGTCTAAGGCACGGAGAGTTCCTTTGTCTGGCATAGTGAAACAACATCAGTTATTTCATTACCAGAGGCCCATTCAACACATTATACATAATTGGAATCAGTAAATTGCCGCTTTTGCTTTGATTTAAAATCATTGAACTTTGAATTATGGTGATCCAAAAACTAAAAGAACTGTTGACTACTGACACTGCCTTCACTGCTTACTGAAGGCAGGAAGTGTAGAATTTCTGTCAAATATTATTATACATTAGCCCCATAAACTAACTGAGACTGGGAGAGTTAACACATGTGTTTGTTTTGAGAAAATAAACCAAATAATATATAGAACTTGTATATTTCAGAGTACATATAAGAGTTAAATATCATTCCTGTTCACATGAAGCACTCACCATATTACACCATCAATCAAAGTGAATTAGGTTGGTTTTTTTGCTGCTGTTTTTCTTTACCAGACATCTCGCCAGTATGGTTTGACAACGGTACTTAGTGCCAGGGCGAATTAGTCAATATCTCTACCAGACAGAAACAGACCAGACAATAAAATATTCATACATTTAAAACTCTCCTTTTCAAAAGGTACAGTTTGGGTCTGGAGAAAGTGAAAGTAGCTGCAGTGGTTATCGGAAAGATACCAGGCCTGCAATCGGTCTCTGGGTGGCTGCCAACCAGGAATACGCATAAACTGACAACACACACACTGACTTACTTACACACAGAACCACTGCCCAACACATACACTATCTGCCTGTCTCTGTTACCATGGAAACTGACAGGCCTTCCATTGAAATATCCTCAGATGCAGATGTGAGTGTGTGGGTGTGTGTGTACTCTGTGTGTGCACCACGGTTTGTGTGATTATGTTCATTTGCATTTCAGAGATTGCAGAGTTTGGAAGTGAGTAAGGACACATGTGCTCATATCACTCAGAAACTGTATGTGGGGTAACATTAATGCTTCCAACAAATACGTTTATCTTTATCAATATTGCATACTGCTGGAGCATGTGTGAAATGTAAACTTATTTTAGGAAATGTTTTATGAAACCGATACTTACTCTGATGAGTCTATGAAGTATATTCCGAGGGCCCCAATGCTGAGCGCAAAGACCAACACCACCTGAGGAGAGAAAAGCACAGACGAAAGGGAAATTACTTTCATGCATTGAGTGGAAAAGCTCATATAACTCTGCTCATTTATGTACTGTATAGTAAACAAAGTATTCAGTTGGGGCGAACACAATATGCAACACTAGGTTGAGTATCTGTAATTATACAGTGACTTGCCTCCTGTGGGTTGCAGAACATTTAAAAAAACATGCGCTGAATAATGAATGCTCTACCTCATGTCAGTACAGCTTATTAAATACACGCAGAGTCAAGCCTGTACAATCACAGGAAGTAAAGAAAGGATATACATGTGTAAGCTCGAGTGCACAGAAGAGTAGTAACAATGTGTCGGGGTGATGAGAGGAAGTGCTTAGACAGGACCACAGTTATCAGGTGTTGACATGCACTCCTCAACCACTACAGTGAGTCAGTGTTTGCATTGTGGGAGATTGTGGCCCTGCTGAACTGTGGTCTGTATAATGTTTCATGGACTATCTATGATCAGGAAGATGGGGCACCTTGCGGTCCTGTAAGCAACACCTGAGCCTTTCATCTAAAGGTTATTTAATCTTGTAAAGAGACTAACACCCTATAGTGTTTAAATTATTTAGAAATGTGTGCAATTATTACACTGGTTTGTGAATGTATTTTGATTAATGTAAATCAGACCAGGCTATGAATGCCACTTGTTTTAAGAAAATTGCACAAGTATTACACAACTTTTATTTTGTGTAAAACAAATAAATTAAACATTTTAAATTAGAAGTCAATACAAAAAAAAAAATCAGCTTTGTTGATGGATAATGCTGCGTCAAAAAATTCTTCATTAAACTGCACTTATTAGAGTTGTCATCAATATTAGAGCTGCTTAGAAGAGTACATGGATTAGTCTATCAATAGAAACAGAATTGGAATTTTTTTATTTTGATTCATCTAAATGATCATGCAATAATGGCAGAATGGCATATTCAGCCAATCAAATGTGGAGATGTCTTGCCTTTTTCCATTTTATATCTCATGAAACTGTAAATCGTTGGGTCTTGGACTATAAAACCAAACATGTAAAAGCATCACCTTAGAGCCTAAAAATTGGATGTACATTTTATAGACCTTAAATTCATATTCTAGAAAGAAATCTGCAGATTAATCAATAGTGGAAATAATCTTTAGCCGCAGCTCTATTCACCATCACTACTGTTATCATAATCATCATCTTCGCAACAGCTGACCAACGTAGCCATGCACAATGGATTCTCCCCTCCGGTCTCCTCTCCCATTCAGCCGTCTCACAATAGGAGCCCAATATCCCTGCTGATTGTGCCATTCATTATTGATGATGGAAGCTTGATTACTTTCATGTGATGGTCCTTTGGATTGATCCTTTGCATTGTGGCTGAGGTATTAAGCTAACACCCCCGATCACCATGCATTTTTAATGATTTGCTGCTTGAATGGAACATGATGGCGATCCTGGCCACAGAGTTGCCCAGACCTTACAATTCAAAGACATCCGTGATTCACAGAGGAGATGGGGAGATCACTTTAGCTAAAACTCTATAATAACATCGGGTTTTTTGAAATAGAAAGCACTGATAAAAGGCCTCATCTCATCCAAAAGTGGCATGGTATGATTAGTTAGTATTTAGCAGGTGCAAGGTGAATGCCAAACTGGTTAAAGTCTTCAAGTATTAAATGTATTCAGGAGTGTGGGTGGAGTTGCTTAACCTTTGTAGCCCACTATTAACCTCTGCGTGAGACTAGCGCGTGGGGGTTATATTAGAAACAACTAGCATAGCAAACTCAAATCTTTAAACAACCTGATAAGGGTTCATTTAGCATTTTGGGTAATGGTAAAAAAACAGCTTTTGACAAGAATTCATGGAATTCAAAAGACAATATATCTGATTGTGCTGCAACCGTAATGACAATTTATTAATTTAAGTCGACAATGTTAAGAGTGGAATGCAAAACAGATTGGCATCCTCTATTAAGTGCTGCAGAAAGAGTAGAAATAAATAACTAAAAACATTACCTAATTCCATACCAAATCGTATCAGGAGACTTAAAAAGACAAAAAATGAAAAGATGGCTCTTTATGTGAAACACTGAGAAGCGGAGATAGATTCTGCTTCTTCTGTTTACAGAAGTTGCATGGTCATAAGGATTAAGAAGGGAAAGGGAGACAGAGAGGATGATAAAGAGGGGTGGAGAAGTATGGCTGAGCAGTGGTTGGTTGCTGGAAAGCTGAACAGTGAACACCCAGCGATGAGCTGAGTTGATCTTAAACTGACCCAGTTATTCAGCTGTAAAAGCCAATCCATCCCCCAACCCTTTTTCACACACACAATGTCTACGAGGGCTAGCTGTCGACCTCAAACACACAATCTACCAAAGACAACCAACCGAGCCACTGCCAGTGCAAATCAGGACCAATGTACTAACACTCAGGGGGAACCTACGAGAATAGGAATGGAAGGGGCATTCCCTCCGCCTACAAAATAAAGCAATACATTTAAAAAAGGATTGCTAAGTATAGCTGACACTGCATCTGTAGTAGTCACTAACGACTTAATCTGACTAAATTAATATGCAGATGTGATGATTTCACATGTGATTAGATGATGTCACATAAAACAAAGTGGCCGGTATCAAGTCAGAGGAGCAGCGATCAGACATGATGTCTTTGTTTTGTCGTTAATAGTCGTGTAGGTTTTCATCAGTGTATTCCTTTCTAAATTTAAAGTGCAAAGCTAAATATGTCAGATGTTTTCCGAGGTGCACTTCACTGGCTTTACTGTAAGACTATCTACCATGTGTGTGTTTGTGTGTGTTGCACTTCAATGTGTGCTGGTTTCAAGTTCTAGTATTGCAAGAAGGCTAAATGTAGCAGCGCTCACATGACACCGTTAACACATAATAACAGTAACTAAAATGTATAAACACACGTGCGAGTCTTACGTTCTCAGTGTATTTGGCAGTCTAAAGATTTTTCTAGTGCTCATTACGGCTTACCCGTTGAAGAAATATGAAGTGCCCTAAGACTGAGGCACGATTTCACACGAGATTTATTCCTGCAACAGGGATTCTGTCTAATGACTTCCTTTGACTCTTAAGTGGCATGTGACAGGGACAGAGCAGAGTCTTACAGACAGGTGATGGGGGCTGACAACGTACGGCATAATCGCTTCACATTAGGGCCAACTACTCAGGTCAACGAGCGGTGACTCAAAGCCTCCTGCTTCCTCGGCATTTCAGTCAGACCGGTCTCTTTGTTGAGTATACACACCTGGATCAAGTGGATAGGGTTAGAAATAATATATTATATTATCATGTATGTAAATTCATTTAGGATAACTGTTATTAAATAGTTAACGCATGGGAACGTTTTGGGGCTAATTCCTGTGAACAAAAACACCTGCAAAATCATGGTCCATGTTGCTATAATCATTCATCTAGAAAAGCCTCACAGGTTGACTGTTCGCCGTTTCCATTAAAGCCTTACCCCACAGGATATGTAAGAAAGTTGGAATTTTAATATGCCAATTTTAAGCTAATATACAAAATGAAAAACCTACTTAATAAAATCTAAAGCCTGGGGCTTATAAGGTAGCACAATTGTGAGCTGATTTGCATGTTATTATTACAGTGCATCGGGAGGTCGACATCAAAGGCAGGAAAACAAATATCCTTGAGGGGAGTGTAGTTAGTGTAGAAATGATAGGGAATCTTAACTACAATATTTCTGTCAAACACTGAAATAAATACTTTCTAAGAATCCTAACGGGTTCCCCAAGATTACATGAGCGGGAATCCTCGGTGGGGAGTCAAGAATGCCCGTCGGTACTGTGTGGCATCAGGATAAGCTTATCATTAATCTGGCCTGGCTTGCTGTGTTAGCCAGCAAGAGGAGTTCCAAAATGTCCGATTGATGCCTCAGCCAGAAAGGATTTCAGGTCCAGAGCCAAGTAAAGATCCGGCCAAAAAGCTGTACCGTTCCTGCCTTCCTTTGGCTTTAATCCCTAAACATACATTTGCAGGTTTCAAACAAATTAGAAGTGCTGCAGTCAGTGTGCATTAAATCATATGACCAGAAAATTCAACTCCATGTCACACCTACACATTATGACAATGTTTGCACTGCAGAGAAAAACATGTACTTCCATTCCAAGTGTTTATTTTCATATCAAATATTCCTACATTTTCATGTGTAGCATGAATGTCGATTCTGTTTGCTATTGCGATGCCACAATAGGAATCAGAATCACGTGTCAGTGCAGGAGGTGAGAGACTGAGCCCTCACTGGGGGAATACACAAGAAACCTTCATTAAACTTTGATGGTTCACATCCATATATCCGCACACATCGTGATCTCCTCTTTCACTCCGCTTCAAATGGCAGGGGGCTCAAGTCAGGTTCTGCAAGTGTAGGTATGATCTGACATTCCGTCAGAAAAGCACGCTCTGTATTCCAGTCACACACTGCATAACCCAACACAGACTACTGATTCCCACTGTGTGACTGAAGAGATGTACCACAGGCATACAAATTCATACAAGACCAACCTCACCAGGTGGACAAGAATGACCAAACATGTGCTGCATTCGTCATTGGTGAATAATAATTTTTATAGCATAACAAACTCTGTATATGTTTGTTTTTTCCTACATATTAACAAAAGCTGTGCCTTTATTAATATAAATGAACAAAGACAAAAATACATTTTCTTTTTAGAGACACATTTTCCAAGCTTTTTTCCCAAAGATATCTTAGCTCAAAGACCATCCAGTCCGAGCCTACTGAAAAAAGTACTGGAAATACATCCTTCTGAGTCTCCCTCTGCTGATAGGAGGCTCTGAACAGACTTTGCGGTGATATAAATGTTAATTGCACTCTCCTGATTAATAGTCCCTTTTTTGTAAATAGAAATAGACACCCACAATCGTTTAGCATGTTTGACTATCAACAGAGCAAGGCCAATTATCCCCAGACTTCCAATATACAATTCATAA